TGGGTCCCACTGGCCACCCGGGGCATAGGGCAGCCCATCAGGGGGACACCGCCGCCAGGATGTTACCCCCAGAGTTGGCGCCAGGAGGGCATTTGGGACGGCCAAGGGACCGAGGGCTTCTGAAATGAGAGTGTTGGGGACTTGCTCCTTCTGTCTCCACTGGGCACGTGCACACACATGCACACGCTCACAGACACACCGCTCCGTGTGCTGTGCCTGGACCTCCGGGTCCAGGAGGGCGCCTGTGGCCGCCTCATCCCCAGAGGATCATATTTTCCCCGCATGCGGGTTCTGGCTGTGCCCACCCAGGGCAGTCTTGCCCTTCCTCAGGCACTTGGGGGTACAGTCTCTGTCACCTGAACCTTGTCCTGGCTCCCCGTGCCCGTCCCCAGAGAAGAGGCCAGAGAGGCGTGTTTGTCCAGGACCCACTTGCCTGGAGTGCTGGCCAGCAGCACTGTGGGTCCTCTGCTCTGCGCTGGGGCCAGCATGGTCACGGGCATGCTTCGGTCTGAGTGAGTTCCGTGAGGTGTTTGGTGTTCGCCGGCTTCCTGTTGATTTGCGTGTCTGTGGGGCTGAGGGGAGTGGTTCGGGCTGTGTCTGTCGGTGATCCAAGCTTTCTCCTGGCAGTGTTGGGGATGGAGCAGTGTCCTGCCTTGTACGGCAAGTGTCCTGCCCACTGCACATCTCTCTGCCCCCGGCTGCGGAGAGATTTGAAATAAATGAGCACATTTATTTTAGGGCTTCTTGGTTAGAACCTGCCTCCAGCAGCCAGGGGCAGGGGCAGGCCTCTCCTGCAGGATGGCCAGTGTGGGGGCTTGGCGTGCGCCTCTGCCTCTCCAGTGGGTGTCCGTGGAAGCCAGGCCAGCACCCGGATTCAGCCCTGGTTAGGTGCGAGGATGTCTCAGCCTGCCACTCATCGTCCTCCCAGAGCCTGTCCATGTCACTGGCTCGGGTTCGAGGCTACTCCAGCCCCGTCCTTGGCTCCTGCTGTTCATCTCTCGACCCTGCTCTCTCGCAGACTGGCACAGGCTGGTTTTCTCCAGCCCCGGGGCTGCCTAGCTGCCGCGCGTGCCAGGTGAAGCCATGTGGGAGGGTGGCCTGGAGGCAGGAGCCCCGCGCAGGGGCTGGCCCAGCCGCCCGCTGAGTGCGCACAAGGTGCTGGCGGTCTGTGTCTTCCACTGTCGTGCTCGCCCAGTTTTCTCTCAGCCCTCCGCTGCCCAGCAGGCCTCAGCTGTCCTTTTAGCAAATTCACTGATGGCGGGGCTAGTGTTTAAGGCAGCAGCAGTGGTGGTGGTGGTGATGGCGACGGCGACGATGGTGCTGGTGGTGAGGATGTTACTGGTGGTGGTGATGGTTATGGTGGTTGTGATGGTGTTGGTTAATAGTGGTGGTGGTTATGTGGTTGTGATGGTGGTGACGTAACAGTGGTGGTGGGGCACTGGCCCTGGTGACATTGATAGTCCCAAGGCCATCCCTCGCGAGTGTGATGACGCCCGTTTGAGACGGCGGGGCCATTTCCCGCCATGCGGACTGCCCTTCCTCCCCTTCTGCATGTGCGCGGGGCCTCTCGCCTCCTCTGGGCCAGGCGGCTGCTCCCTGAGCAGCTGTCCTGACGCCCCCGCGGTCTTGGGGCATGTGGCGCCCAGATCCGCGCCCAGCCTTGTGCGTCCTGGGAGGCTGGGGGCCAGATGGCCTTGCAGCCCTCCCGCCCTGGAGGGGCACTGCTGGCCGCTGAGCCCCTGGCATGATGAGCTGCTGAAGGTAGATGTGCCCCTTGAGCTGTCGGGGACACAGCGGGACTCAGCTGATGCTCAGGCCACTCGTGGTGCATGGTGAGCCGGGAAGCCCAGCTCAGGACTCCTGCTGGATGGGCCGTGAAGAACAGGAGGGCACTGGGCATGATGGAGTGGACCATTCCGCTCGTCTGCCCTGTGGGTGCAGCGTGGTGGCAGCCCTGTGTGGACAGCAGCATGATGGCTTCTGAATGGACCTGCCCTTCTTTCTGACTGGTCCAGTGCAGAAAGGTCCGTTTCTCTGCCCGGGCTGCCTGTGTGGCCACAGCCTAGTCGTCCTTCCCGCTGACCCAGGGTCCATCCACATCTCTTTCCCCTTTCCCCATGCCTGCCGTTATCCTGTGCTTCTCCTCCCTTCCTCCCCTTCCTGGTGCGGTGGTCGCTGGGGTGCAGGAGTGGGGGCCTCCTGTTGGCGTGAAGAAGGAAGATTTCCCAGGGGTGGTCTGGGAGATGCTCAGGGACTGGGCATGGGCTCTGCGTGCTGAAGGCCCCGGGGACCCCGAGCACTGCCGGGAGTGACCCCAGGCATGGACCCTGATTGTCGATTTGCAGCTTGGCACTGAGTGACTCTCCTGGGTTGGCGGGCTGGGCGGCCTGGGCACCTCTGCCAGCTTGAATGCCCGTGCCGGTGTGAGGTCACAGTTCACCCGGCTCCTGCGTACCCGGATACCCGTTCTGGGTGGTTTCTCTTAGTCACTGTGTAAAGCGGCGCAGACCGTGAACCCCTTGATTCTTCCCGTGCCCGTCCCTCGTGATGTTGTGACCTGCAGGCTGAGGCTGCTGCAGGTGGGGGACGGTGCGGCTGGCGGACGGAGCGGCCTTGGGGCTTAGGCACCAGCCCCTCCTGCTGTTGTCCGGGCCCCGAGTGTCAGGCTGAACCCCAGCTCGCTGGCCCCATTGCCTGCATGTGGCCGTCCGCCTCCCCGCGGCCCTGTGGAAGCTTGTGCTCGCCTGCCAGTGCCCGCCTGCCCGCCCGCCCCCGCTCACGTCCAGCTCCCGCTCATTGCTGCAGAGGACGCGGGCCTTCTGAACCTTCCAGAACCGATTCAGTGGGATTCCTGGGCCTAGTCAGGCGTTCTTGTGCGGGAGTCAGTGCCCTGGAGGGCAGATGGGTGGAGCCCTGGGCGCCTGAGGGCCTGGCCTGCAGCAGCCCTGTGACTGGCCTCTGGCTGCCTGTGTCCCTATAAGGGAAACTATGCAGTGCCCCATTGGCGGGCCTGCGGCTCCCTCCTGCCAGCAGCGCTGCTTCCTGCTGCTGCCTCCCACCTGCCTGAGACCCCGCAGAGCCCCCCTCAGCCTGTCTGCTGCAGAGGCGTGAGGCAGGGCATCTTCTCCGTCCCACCCCTTCAGAGTGGGCTGCCGTGGGGGTGCAGACCGGTGTGGGGATGGGAGCAGCTGCGTCCCCGCAGGAGCTGGGGAGCTCCTCGGGGAGTCGGGGTGGCAGGGGGCAGGGGGGCGTCCGTGATGCTGGGTGCTGGCATGGGAGAGGCCCGAGTTGAGCTGGACAGGAGTGCCCGTCTGGGGCTGTGTGGCACGGCGAGGAGGAAGAGCCCGGGCGCCAGGACAGGCAGAGGCAGGCACTGGGGCCCAGCCGTAGCCCACACCTGGTTTCTAGGCCACTTCCGCAGTAGACAAGCGGCTGCAGGGAAGCGCTGAGCACTCTCAAAGACCTGACAGCTTCTGGCATCTCCAGAACCTGTGGGAGCTGAGCACGCCAGCAGCACATGATCAAGCCTGCGACTGAGGCGGGTGGCGTGGCATTTGTCCCAGTGTGTGGCCTGTGGCAGGTTGGGTGGGCACTGACATGGGAACTGCTTCTGGCCATGTGTGTGAAACCAAGCAGGAGGCTGTGAGGTGGCTGCGTGCGTTTCTGAGAGCTGGTACCCGGCAAACTGAGGCCCTGGAGGAGACCTTGGAGTTCTTCCTGGGCCCGGTCTGACTGTGTGAGGAAGACTGTGGTATGAGGAAGGCTGTAGTCTGTGAAGCAGGCTGGTGTGTGTGAGGAAGACTGTGATGTGTGTGTGTGTGTGTGTGTGTGTGTGTGTGTGTGTAAGATATGAGGAAGACTAGTGTGTATGAGGGAGGCTGTAGTGAGTGTAAGGGAGACTGTATGTGGTGTATGAGGAATGTTGTAGTGTGTGAGGAAGACTGTAGTGTGAGGTGCAGGTGACTCACATGTCTGTCTCCAGAACCATGCGAACACACCAAGAGCATAGGAAGAAGTGATGCGTCGGCCCCTTTCCTGGAATCTGATGCAGGAACACCATTTCCTGTGGTGATGCAGTATCTGGATCTTGTCAGGGCCGTTCCTGTGGCCCTGCTCGGCCTCCTCCTGTTTACTCATCAGGGTTTCCAGGATTGTCCTGGTGCCGACACAGGGCTGGACGTCAGGTTCCAGAGTTCTTGGCTCACCAAAGCTCTGTCTCCTTGGCGCAGTCCCTCGTTTCTTCCCTGGACTGGCTCACGCACTTCCACTGGGAAATGCTGGTTTAATGCTCGTCGGGACAATTTCTGGCAGCAGTGTCTGTCACTTCCTGCTCTCATGGATAAGCCTTGTGCATGAAAGTGTTGCAGGCACAAGGTGGGACACATTAGTGAGCCAGACTGCGCCATCACAGGCTCTCAGCAAGGAGCCATCATTGTTTGCTGTGAGGGTCGGAAGAAGGACCAGGTGACTCCTGGCACCAGAGCCTGGTGACACTGCTTGGCTCATCTTCAGCTGCCTGCACTGGCTGCTCTCCGCTGGTGCCGACGGGCGAGAGAGGCGGGTACCTAGCCCGTGGCGATCACGGAGCTCCCTGCAGGGCACTGGGCCTGGTCACCTCGGGCGGCTGTCCCAGCAGGGAAAGCGGGGAGCATGTGGCCCCAGCACCTGCTTCCAGTCCATGTAGGCATCTCAGACGCTGCTGAGCTGGGTGCAGCGTTTCCGAACCCGGCCTTTCGGGCCCCCTCCCCTCTGGCACTGAGGCTGGATCCTACTCGACACTGCAGGTGACCAGCCTTGCAAGGGCCCGGACCCATCTGCGGTGCTGTGGCTTCGCAGGTGAATCCTGTGTGGGGTCGAGGCCTGGAGCGAAGCTTGGCCTCAGTCCGAGACAAGCGGGAAACGGTGTGGTCGGTTCTTGCAGGGCCAGCCTCACTGTGGCACGGTGGGGGTGGGGCGGCATGCTGACGCTGGGTCTCCTGTCCTCCCATTGCTTTGCAGTCATGGAGGAGCTGATTGTGGAGCTGCGTCTCTTTCTGGAGCTCCTGGACCACGAGTATCTGACGTCGACGGTCAGAGAGAAGAAGGCCGTGGTCACCGAGATCCTGCTGCGGGTGCAGTCAGCCAGAGGTGCGCCTGCCCGGGGCCCCGCCTGCTGGGCCTTCCTTTTGAATTTGCTTTTCTAGGGCCGCCTTCAGGGCCAGGTGGCTCCCTGCCCCCACCTCACAACCCTCCTGCCTCGTCCCTGGCACCCCTGCCCCCAGCCCAGCTCTCCACTCCCGCTCTCGGGCTCTCCTGTACCAGACCACAGCATCTCTCGGCCTTGAGCCTTGGAGCCTTTGGGGTGCAGTGGGCAGTGGGGGTGCCCGCGGGCACAGCGAGTGGACTTTCCTCGGGGCAGCACGGCTCTGCCCTGGGGTTTTTCCGTCCAGCTCCCAACTCTCATCGCCAGAAAGCTGGACACGGCCAATCCTGGGGCCCGGCGAGGGGACACCGTGCTGACCCTGCGCTGTTCCTGTCCCTCACGGCCCATGGTCCCCCTGACAGGTTTGGATGTCAAAGATCCCCCGCAGAAACAGGAGCCCCCGGGCCCCCTGCCGGCCCCGCCGCAGATGCCGCTGCCCGAGATCCCTCAGCCCTGGCTGGTGAGTGGGCCCTGGGCGGGAGGCCCCGTGGGCTGGGGCGGGGGACTTGCTTCGCTGCGTGTTTTCGGGGCTGCAGGCACTGCCCCGTGGAGTCCTGTTTGTTTTGCTTTTTTATTTATTTTTGGGTCACACCAGCGATGCTCAGGGCTGACTCCTGCTGTGTGCTCAGGGGGCGTGCTCTGGGCTCGGGCCCAGCAAACGCCCTCCCTGGGGACTGTTGCTCCTGCCCGCCTCATGGGCTTCTGATGTGACCTCTCTCTGGAGGTGGCGGCTCCTGAGAATAGGGCCTGCACCTGAGAGAGGGGAGCGGGCCAGGGCGTGTGGCAGCTGACCCCCGGCCTCGCCTTTTTGCTCATGTGGAGACCATCGCTGCCAATGATCAGGGCTTGCTCCTGGCTCTGTGCTCAAGAATCGGCCCTGGCGGGGCTCGGGGACCCTGTGGGGTGCGGGCGGACGCCTCCCGCCGTGCTGTCTCCCCGGGTCTTGCTGAGCAGGGATGGTAGATGCGCACTGCCCCCTCCTCCTGCCAAAGGCCCTCTTTCCCTAGGAGGAGAATCCACGCGTGCGCAGGAGTCTCGGCCGGCGGCCTCTCTGGGGTTGCGTTGCCATTGTCCTTCTCCCAGGAGGTTCGCCTGTGCGGTTTCTCACCTGCCTGTCAGCGCCTCTGTCTTCAGTTGGCATTAAGTGGCTTACTTGGGGAAACGAGAGTTTATTCAACTGGGGGCCAGTTCATCTTCGTAGCCGCTGGTGGGAATTGGGGAGTTTGCTGAGCCGGGAGCCGCGGGGTGCCGTGTCCTGCCCGCGGGGCCGGGGGCGCGCCGAGGCCCCAGGCACACTAGACCGCGGGCTGCAAGCCGCTTCTCCCCCCACACTAGTGATTTTCCCTCGTAACACCCTGGTGGCGCCCCACGGGTGCTCGGAGAACCTTCAGCCCCCGTGCCCGCGCGTCACCCAGCACAGGCCTGTAGTGCCATGACCGTGGGGCCTCCCTCCAGGCCAGGCTGTTGGGGCAGGCCACATAGTCGGTCCAGTAGATCTTTCGTTCTGCATCTGGGCCAGGCTGATGGGGCGGGTCGGCCACTCGGTTGGCGGGGCTGTGCGCAGGGGCGCCCCCAGGCAACCCCCTCTGCAGGGGGCCGTCCCAGGTGGGGACCCTGTCTCAGTAGACGGCGTGAACCCCTGGGTTAGGCCTGTGACCCCTTCAGCACCCAGTGAAGCCAGGAGGGTCAGGGATGTGGGGATGTTTGCTGGGGCGGCAGGACCAGGAGCTGAGGGTAGGTCCACACCCTCCTCATGGAGCAGCAGGGCCTGAGAGCTCGCACCCTCCACCTTCACCCTCCCAGCCTCACTCTGCAAGCCCCACCCTCTCCCTCTCAGCCTCACCCTCTCACCTCCAGCCTTTCACCCTGAGCCTCTCCCCCCTCACCTCTCCTTCTCATCCTCATTCTCGCCTTCTCACCCTTGCACCCTCTTACCCTCCCTCTCTCACCCTGTTATCCTCCCCCTCCCCCCGCCCCCGCCCCACTCTCTCCCTGGATCCCCTTTTGAGGGCTGCTGCCACCCCCTGGGCCCCCGGCGCATGCTGTCACTGGGGTGTGGGCCTACAGCGTGGTCCGTGGGCTCTGGAGGCATGGGTGGGTTGGGGGTGCCGTGTGCAGGCACCTCTGTGACCTCTGACCTTCTGGCCCCCTCCCTGCTGCCCTGAGCAGGCCTCATGGGGCTCCAGTGCTGGAAATTTCTGGAAGGTGCTTGTTTGTGTTCTCTCCGGACCACGCGCTGGTCAGTGGCGCTTGAGTGTGGCCAGCTGAGGCCACGGGGGTCCCTCGGCCTGGCCGGGCTCGTCTGTGAGGGCCTCCCTCGGCTGCATGCGCTGCGCCTGGCCGTCAAGCGGCACCTAGGCTGGGCCCCGAGCACGGCTCTCCCCTCCTCCGGGCTAAGGGGGCTTCTCCGCCCTCTGGGACTGAGGGACCGACCGGCCTGGCTCCCCGGAGCGCCCACGGTCAGCCTGAGTCACGGTCATGGCATTTTCTGGAATGTTTTGATAAGCCGCAGCTGGGCCACGTGCACTGGAGAGCCTTGACTGCATGTGAGGGAGGCCCAGCACCCCCTGCCCCCACGCTCAGCTTCACCCTTCGGGCCCCCGCCCCGCCCTGTGCCCTCTGCCCTGCCCCTTTCTCCAGCCCAGATCTGCCTCACCCTTCCAGAGGCTGCCGGGCCAGGCCGTGGATGGGGGATGCACCCTGAGCCACGGGGGCACTGTCCTGTGCTCCAGCCTCAGGCGAGTCCTGGTCCTCCCTCCTGTCTCTCCTCCGTCTCTCTCTGAGTGTGTCTCTGTGTCTCAGTCACTCTGTCTATCTGTGCATCTCTCTCTGTTTCTGTCTCCTTCCGTCTTTGTGTCCGTCCCTCTGTCTTGCTCGTTTGCTCTTGCTGTCTGCTTCCCGGGAGCTCCTGGCTGTCCCGGATGAAGGCTGGCCCAGCCCAGGGTTCTCTCTGCCACGTACCGAGCAGGAGTTGGCTGACACCCGGCTTCTCTTTGCCGAGTCCACATAGAGCCGGGCAGACGCCTGCTTGGTTCGCTCACTGGCCAGTGCACAACCCTCCGTAGAACTGGGCCCTGTGCCAAGACCACCTCCACCGCATCACGAACCAGAAGTCTGCCATGTAGACTGTGGAGAGGCTGGGCCTCAGTCTCCCTCTGCTTTCACGAGGCCTGATGCAGCTGTGAAGAGTGTCTGAGCCGGCTCGCTGCTGACCAAGGTGTAGGAACAGCAGTGTGAGCGCTGGCTCTGGGCAGCCCCTCTGCCCTTGTGCGTTTCACCCCCGGCACCACTTGCCTCCTGGCGGGTTTCTCTGCGGGGGGGTTCTGGGGTGTAGACTCGTGCTCTGTAGCCGCACGGGGTCTCGCTGCAGGGCACTGGGAGGGCTCATCGCCGGCCTTGATGGCAGCTGGGGCTGCTGGCACCAACCCCAGGCAGGGCAGATGGTGCAGCTGGACCCGGAGAAGTGTGAGGCCGGCAGTGTTTCTCAGGCGCCTCAGGCAGCACCTGTCGGTGTAGACGGTCAGGGGCCACAGGAAAGTTGGGCTCCTTCGGAATCGCGGAGCTGGACCCATCCAGGGTGGATCAGGGCCACGAGGTCTAGGACAGCCTTGGGCAGCCACTGAGCCCGGGACGCGCGTGCACCGTGTGTGTGTGTGTGTGTGTGTGTGTGTGTGTGTGTGTGTGTGTGTGTGTTGGGGTGGAGGTTCGGGGGCAGAGAGCCAGCCAGGGCGAGGTCGGTGGTCCTGGCTCTGCTTCTCTGAGGGAGTGCCTGGGGGTGCTGCGGGCCCCATCCCTGAGGCCGTGCTGACACCCCGTGCTTTCTTGGCGTGTCCAGACGCTCCCCCGCTGTGGCTCATGTTCGCGCTGCACCCCATCCTCAGGAAGGATGAACCGGCCCGAGGCAGCGCCCTGTGCCCCTGGAAATGACAGATGGGCCAGGAACGAGATGGGGGGCAGGGGCTCGTGGACCTGGCGCGGTGCTGCTGCCTCCTGCCCAGGCTGAGGGGCTTCAGTCCCGGCGCCTCGATGGGCCCTGTGGGGACCCTGTGCCCGCCAATGGGTCCCGCCTGCGGGGTCACAGCAGGGCTCCGTCCAGGCCGCGGTCGTCAGGGTGGCGGGCACACCCCATGGAGCTGGTTGGAGGATGGGGCACCTGGCCTGGCCCTGCCAGGGACGGGAGTACAACCCACTTCCTGGGGACCCCATTTCCTGCCGAGGTAGCACTCCTGGGCCCTCATGTGCCCCTCTGCTCTCCTGCAGCCCCCCGACTCCGGGCCCCCCCCGCTGCCCACGTGCTCGCTGCCCGAGGGCTACTATGAGGAGGCCGTGCCGCTGAGCCCCGGGAAAGCCCCAGAGTACATCACGTCAAGTGAGTGCCCGGCGAGGGTTTTGGGGTGGGGGCTGCCTTGCGGGGCCCCAGGTGAGGGGCGCTCCCCGCCGGAACTGCATGCGGGGGCACTGCGGGGCCATCAGTAGCCCCACGAGGGGCCTTTTCTTCCCCTCACAGGCCGTTCAGGGCCCAGCTGGGGTTTCTAACAGGCTCACACGGGGCTGACGCCCCCACAAACCTGTCCCCGGGGGTGCATGTATGACACGGTCCACAGCCTGGGCCTTTGCCATGCAGACAGCAGTGGGCCCCTGGGCCTGGCCTGCTCCGGCTCCATCTGCCCCTGATGCAGCGTGCTGCTGGGGACTCTGGCACATTTTCTGAGACACAGAATCCTGTCGGAAGGCGGTCCCCAAGCTTTCTCCCTCACGCCACCCGGTTTCTCAGCTTCCGGAACCTTCTGCCCCACACAAGCCAACTTGACCCAGGCGCGTAAGCCTGAGGGGGGCAGGAGAGCAGATAGGTTTGGGGGTTGTGCCCCACCTTTTCCTTTCTTCTTAATGGAAAAGCTTTCTAGAACCTTCAGCGTTTCCTGTTTAGAAGCTAATCTTTGGCAGCCTGGAGCTGGGCACTGTTTGGGTGATGCGTTTCCTGGTGCCCCGGGGATGGGCCGGAGCCCCACCTTGTCCTGGCGACATGGAAGGAGCTCGGCCCGTTGTCAGGCACTCAGAGCCGACTGTTGCCAGGGCACCAGGACGCCATGTCCTGTCGGACCCCCAGGATCCCCACCCTGGGCCTCAGAAGCGAGGTCCCTGGCTGAGCTTCCTGCGAGGTGCCCTGCTTCTCCTGGGGGGTGCAGAATTCTCCAGAAGGCCGGGTTGCTGTCCGGGGGTGGAGGGGTGGGAGAGACGGATGGCAGCTGGCACGCAGCCCCGCCTGCAGCCCAGTCCTGTGGACTGCCCTGGCCGCCGCTCACTTGGAGTTGGCGCTTGTAGGCAGACCCTCCTTCCCTCTCCCTCCTGCCTCCCTCCCTCCTCCCTTCTTTCTTCTCTTCCCCTCCCCCCCTCCTCCTTCCTTCCCTCTCCCTTCCCCTCTCGTCCTCCCTCTCTCCTTCCTCCCTCCATCCTTTCTCCCCCCCACCCCCGCGCTCTCTTGCCTTCCTGCAGACTATGACTCAGATGCTATGAGCAGCTCTTACGAGTCCTATGATGAAGAGGAGGAAGACGGAAAGGGGAAGAAGACGCGGCACCAGTGGCCGTCGGAGGAGGCGTCCATGCACCTGGTAAAGGATGCCAAGATCTGTGCCTTCCTGCTGCGGAAGAAGCGCTTCGGGCAGTGGACCAAACTGCTGTGCGTCATCAGGGACACCAAGCTGCTGGTAGGTGCAGGCCCCGAGAGCTGCCACAGGGCTCCCGGCACCCCCAGGGCAGTGGCGGCTGCTGTGCGGGAAGGTGGGAATGGGGAGGCCTCACCCTGCAGGGGCAGGAGGCCCCGGCCAGCCGCAGACGATTCCAGGGACACACGGGGACCGCAGCCCGCGCAGGAGCCTCCTCAGGGCTCCAGGGAGGACTGCGGGCTTGGAGAGGGGCAGGACTTCCCCTTCCTCCTCCTCCCTTCTTTCCTCCCCCTCCTCCCCTTTTGTCCTCTCCTTCCTCCCCGCCTCCCCCTCCCACGCCCCTCTCCAAGTATGCACTTTGGAATGTCTCGCCTTTGCCCCACCCACAGCTTGTTTTCTGAGGCATCTCCTCCCATTCCATAGCTCTGGATTGACCCTTTGGCTTCATTTGTGCTTGAGCTGTGTGTATTATTTCTGTGTGTGTGCACACGCGTGCGCGCACACACACACACACACACACACACACACAGAGTCTGATTTTCTCCCGGATTTAGATTATAAAATTGATGCCGGAGCAGTTTCTAGGAAGGTAGGAGGTAGACTGAGAATGGGGGCGTGTGCAGCTCCCCAGGCTCCTGCGGGCATCGGAGGAGGAGGAGGGATGCCAGGCGCCTTCCCCACCCTTCACGGCTCTGTGTGGGGGGTGGGCATGAACGGAAACCTGGGGGTGCACCCGCTTCAATCAAGCGTGGAGCACCGAGGTTGGCCACAGCCCCGAGCCCTGTGGACATGAGCAGGAATAACCCCGAGAGCCCTAGATGACCCACAGTGGCCTCTCCTCGGCCCCCTAGGCCAAGAGGCCCGAACATCATGGTGACACGGCACGGCCCTTCCTCTGGGCAACTTGGGGACCTGCTCCCCAGGCCTCGGGTCTGGGCTGCGCCAGCGCCCGTAAGTGGCCCCCAGTTCATGGGACTGCCGAGATCTGAGAGCTGGTGCCCAGCAGGGTGCGGCGGGCACAATTGTGTGTGAGGGGGACGTGTAGCTCCTGAAGGGTGCAGAGGCAGGCCCCCAGCAAGCCTTGGCGAAGCGTCCAGCTGTCTCCCTCATGCACTGGACATTGATCAGGTGGTCAGCGGTACTCGCAGGCCTGCAGGAGGCTCGGCTGGACACATTCTGCAGGCCCTAGCGGGCGGATTTCAGGCAGGCATGCGCCTAGTGGGCAGCACACATGTGTGTCTCCGGGGACCCACCTGCTGCCAAGCGCCGGCTGGCCTGGAGTGGGCCCCGGGGAGATGCGGGAGCCAGCACGGACCCCCAGCACGAGGAGGTGCAGCTGGGGGGCACAGGAGGCACAGGCGGTGCAGGAGGTTCAGAAGGCCAGTGACCGGTGACACAGGCTGGCGGGGGTGCACAGACAGTTTCCCCGCCTCGTCGCCCACCGGGGGCCCAACTGGCACCCCATCTTCCTCAGGCCATGGTTGGTCAGTGCTGCTGCTGTTCCCCGGTTCCTGTTTGATTTTCTGGGTTCCCTGCAGTGTTACAAGAGCTCCAAGGACCAGCAGCCGCAGATGGAGCTGCCGCTGCAGGGCTGCACCATCACGTACACGCCGAAGGACAGCAAGAAGAAGCAGCACGAGCTGAAGATCACACAGCCGGGCGCGGACCCGCTGGTGCTGGCTGTGCAGAGCCAGGAGCAGGCGGAACGGTGGCTGCGGGTAAGTGGCCGCCAGGGCACCGCTGGCACCTGCTTGCTTCCCTGTGAGCTCTGGGCGACTTCCGGACGTTTTGGTTCTTGCTTCTCTGTTGTGTCTGGGTGTGTCCGCACGAGGCCCCGGCTTCCTGTGGCCCCTGCACCCCGACGTGTGCCGAGGGATGGGCCCCAGAGGCCTCAGTGTGCCGTTGTCTCTTTCTGACCTTGGGGGCATCTGTTCGCGTCATTTCTCAAAGATCGAGGTTCCTCCCGACTGGATTGAAGTGTTTTCCTCCCTTTCCTGTGCCCAGGTTCTTCCTCCCTGCGTGCCCTCTTTCTGCTCTGGGGGGCGGGGGGCCGTTGCATTCCTCTCGCTGTCGCTGCCCAAACAACGCCTTTGTTCATATTCATTCACTTCTGGATGTTGAGCATAGGGTTTTTTTTCAATTCTGTGTTTTTTAGTTGCTGCTTTTTTAAGTTTTTTTGGCCACACCTGGTGGTGCTCGGGGCTGACTCCTGGCTCCGCGCTTGGGGATGGTGTGTGGTATCTGGGATCAAGCCCAAGCCGACTGTGTGAAGCCCGAGTCCTGAGGCCACTGCACTCCCTGTCCGACCGCTGGGGACCCCAGTTCTTGGGTTCCGTCTGGGGTGCGTCTCTCGGGAAGACCCGCTGGGCTTCTTAGTCAGGGCCTGATGCTGTTGCTTGTCCTGACACCCCTGCTCGCCAGGCGCCAGTGAGCCCGATTTTATTTCAGACCTCTCCACCACCCTGGGGAGAGAAGCCCCAGCTATACCCTGCCCTCTGCCCCCCTCATCCCTCCCGGATTCTACATACAAAGTCCCCCCCCCAACACACATGCGTGCACGCATACACACACAGAGCACTGTCTCTCGGGGGCCCCAGCGCAGGAAGCCCTAGAGGACCCCTCTTCTCTTCTCAGAAACCTGCCCTGCTGCCTGGCACTTGGGGGTGCCTCTTGGCGGCTCTGGGGCACCCCTGAACTCACAGGGCACGGCGGGTGTGAGCTCTGGGTTCCTGGGCTCTGTGCTGCCCTGACACTCGGGGGCATTAGACCAGGGCAGGAACGAGCTGTGCACGGGGGCTGTGCCCACCTGCCTCGGAGTGCGGCAGCTTCATCCACCCGACTGGGAACAATCCTGCCCTCCATCTGTCTCCTCAAAAGCAAAAGCAAACAACAAAGGCACACCTTTGGGGGCCAGGGGCGCTCCCACACCCTGAAGTGCTCCAAGGTCACTCCTGGCTCTGCACTCGGATCGCTCCTGGTGGTGCTCGGGGAACATATGAGATGCCGGGGATCGAACCGGGGTCAGCCGCATGCTTCGGCTGTGTTGTGCCAGCTGTTCTCCGTCTGGTTTCCCTGTGGGGCTGACCTGCTTCTCCTTCCGGTGTGTGGTGACTGAGGAACCTGCCGCTCCTCTGCCCCGTCCCCTGCGCTGCTGTCCTGGCTCCCTCACTTCCCGAAGCCCCCGCCGTGGGGCACTTGGCGGTGGTGGGTGACGTTGGCTTTGTGGCTGTGTTTGTCTTCTGGGCGACAGGTGGAGCGGGTGGCCGGGTCGCTTGGGCTGGGCTTCCTTCCTCGGCCTGGCATCTCTGCGCCGCCCCGTGTGCCTGAGACTGCTCTGTGCAGCCTCGGGCAGCGCTGACTCCTGTGGAGGAGGTCCTCAGGGCGCAGCTTCAGAGGGTGGCTGTATCCAGGCGTGGCCAGCTCAGCACCTTCCCAAAGGCCTAGTGGACCTGATGCCCAGAAGCTGCCCCCAGCTCAGCACCCCCAGGTAACCCAGTCCCGGTGGGGCTCTGCGCCTCCCCCGAAGTGCCAGGCTGTGTTCTCAGCTGGCACGTCCCCTGCGTCAGCGTGTGGCTGGTTCGGCCCCCTTGGCCCAACGCGCTGCCCGCCTCATGCGTTTCCCATTCTTTTTCCCGTCAGCGTGGCCGTCCTGGACACAGCTTTATGGTCTCAAAATCAGGCAGTGGTGGGGTTGGGGTTTCCACATTTACTCTGGCATTGTAATTCAGAATCGCATTTTCTGTGGCCGGGTCACAGCTGCTGAGGCCTTGTGCCCGCGTGGATGGCCCTGTGGGGGCCTCGTGGCCACAGTGCAGGAGGGACTCAGTGAGGGTCTGGGGTCCGCGGCTTGTCCATGCGGCCCAGCTCCACGTCAGGAAGGGGGAGGAGAGGGGGTGCCTGGGTCAGGAGGTGGTACGTGTGCCACAAGGGCCACGTGAGAGTGTGCTCCGCAGTGTGCGACAGACCTACGCTGCCCTGAAACAGGCTCCAACGACCAGGTCCCTGACCAGCTGACACATGCCTCAGGCGTGGCCAGCTCAGCACCTTCCCAAGGCCTTGCCCACTGGCGCCCTCCGCCTGCTGCTCCCCGTGGCGGCTGTGGTTCCTGCCGGAATAAACCACCTGCGTACGCTACCTGCACATATGCACATGTGTGTGTGTGTTCACGTGTTTCACGTATGCGGTCATATCTGCACATGGGCAATGTGTGTGTGCGCCAACTTGCTTTGCGTGTGCTTGTGTGTCTGCAAGTGTGCATGTGTGCGTGTGCGTGCATACGTCACCGCGTGTGTGCATTGGAGTGTGTGCTTTGTGTGGTGTGTACAGATGCTGACACCGAGCCCTGCAGGTCACCTAGAAGACGAGGGTCAGGGTCTGCCGAAAGAAGGCGGCAAGTTCTTGAAAGCCTGGGCAGAGACTGCGACCAGGGCTGAGTGAAAAGCAAACAAAAACCCCACAGGACACAGAGCGATTTGTTTTTTGAAGGTTTTGGCAGCTCTGACCTCGGGCCTGGTTCTCGTTAAATGCATATTGGCCAACTTCTCTGAGAAAGTGGGGCCAGAGACGGAGGACTCGGGTGGCCGGGCCGTCCCAGGTGGGTCACGGCTGGCACCATGGACAGGGACGTGTGCCTCCTCGGAGCGGGGGCTCACCTGGTTTGGGGAGTGGGAGGGCATGTGGTGTCCTGCTTGGAGGGCCTTGGGGGCCATCTGCTGGGGACCCGCAGAAGTTGGAGCTCACGTCCTCCTCTCACCTGGCTGCGGGCCTCGGGCTCGTCCTCCTTTGCTGCCCGGGGTGCATGGGTGGGTGAGAACTGAAGGGTCTCCCCTCACTCCAGGGACGCCTCTGCTGCCTGATGTTCTTCGTCTCAGTAGCGCACAGCACTGTGGGGCTCAGGGCTCCTCCTCTTCCTGCTCTGCGCCCTTCTGGGAAGACCCTTGGGACCACTGCCCACCCCACTTCCCCACTGCCCTCTATGGTTGAGTTCCAGTCCAGGAACTGGTGATGGTCTGTTAGTGCCTTTTGCTTTAGTTGTTTCTGCTCCACAGGCATGAAAGCAGTCTGTGTAACTGTCCTTCTGCCTACCTGTCACTCTTGGCTTCCCCCAGATGGCTCCATGTCTGCCCCTAAAGGCTCCTCCATCCTTTTCACAGCAGCATAATATTTCACGGGCCATGTGGCTCCCCGGCTTCCTCGATGTTCCCTGGTCCTTAGGGCAGGGTCTGTGTCTGTGCTCTGGCTGCTGAGGATGAGATTGCTGGAATGTGGGGTGCAGACCCCCTTTCCAGTGGGGGTCCATGACCTGTAGCTCAGTGCCCAGGAATAGATCGCGGCTCAGGGAATTTCCTCCTTATTCTCTAAGGGACCCTGCCCCACCCCGGCCATATACTCCCCAGTGCTGAGCCCCCTTGCCTGTCCCCCACAGGGCCCGGCTCCTTCCTCCCACCCCCTATCGTTCCAGACGTTTCACTCTCTGGCACTGCTGCTAGCTCTTCTATTAGGGGGTTGGGTAATCCAGGAGCACGACTGTCTCATCTGCCTCTTGAGGAACCTTGGCACTGCAGTGGTCTCCGCCAGCACCCTCTCCACCACACCCATCTCTCCCATCCCCAGCAGCAGGTCTGCTCTGAGGCCTCACCCAGGGCTAGTCCCTGGTGTTCTTCCCACTCCCTCTCGGGGTGTTTTCCCAGGTCGCCCAGCCTCCCTGGGCTCGGCTCCCTGTCCGGCCCCTCTGGAGTGGTAATGAACCATGTGCGGGCTGGCCCCTGCTCCTCCTGGGCCTCTGCTGAGGCAGGGCCAGGACCTTGGACTGAGGCGTGAGGCGGCGGTTCATTCTCTCAGGGAAGGCCCAGGGACCCCTGGAGTTGACTGACTGCCTGGAGCTCTCGACCTGTCCCCAGATGCATGGCTTCTCCAAGCTGGGCGCCCTGCCCTCGGCTCTCCACACTGTGACCTCTCTGGCCCTTAGCTGGTGCCTCTGCAGCCCCCAACAGCCTCTAGTTCTGTCAGCCTCAGCCAAGAATCCTGCTGTCCTGGGCTCTCCCTGCAGGCCTGCATGGCCATGTCCGCAGGGGTGCTCACTGCTTCTGGAGCCCTGTGCATGATTTCGGAGCGGAGACCAGCAGGAGTGGGCTCCTCACTGGGTTCCTCTGGGTTTCCGAACTGACATCAGTCAGGGTTTGCATGGGTGCGGTGAGTGAGGGAATGAGTACATGAACGTGTGAGGGAATGCCAAGGGACAGGAAAGCGAGTGAATGAGCGGTGCTGAGGGAGTGCATGAGTGGTAACGAACCTGTGATTGGATATTTGAAGCTGGCCTCTGGGGAGTGAGTGGGCACTGAGCCTCCCGCCTGCCCGTTCCCGTTGCTGTCTGTGCTGCGGCTCCGGGGGCGCTCAGCGCTGTGTGTCCTTCTGCAGGTGATCAAGGAGGTGTACAGTGGCTGTGGCGGGCCCGCGGACCCCGAGGGGCCTCCCCTGTGCAGCTCCCCGGTGCACAAGGTGGAACTGGAGAAGGTGAGGCATGTCGGGGCCAGAGTGTGTGCCCCCTGGGGCTGGGGCCCCTGGGGTATCCCGTGAGCTGGCCTCCATCGCTGTGTCCTGCCTGCCTGAGGATGGGACAGTGTGGGCAGGACACGGTAGAGCAGCAGGCATTGTACCCTGTGCCACCCAGCAGGTCCTCAGCCCCTCTGGCCCAGACACTCGGGGGGCAGAGCCCCACTCCAAACCCAAGTCTTCTGCCCGTCAGATCCAAGCACAGCTGCCTGGAGTCCAGCCCCGCTTACATCTGCCCGGGCCGTCGTTGCCTGGTGCTGCCAGCGGTAGGGGCGTGGTGGGCAGTGGGACCCTCGCTCCAGGGTCACGTGGCTGATTGCAGGCCGGGCTGCCAGCTCCAGTGACAGTGGCGGGGCCCCAGTGCCCCCTGGGATGGGGCTGCCCCTCTCGGGGTAGGTCGAGAGTGACGCGCCCCGGTCCCTGTGTCCCCACAGAAGCTGTCCTCCGAGAGGCCCAGTTCGGATGGGGAGGGTGCAGCAGAGAATGGACTAGCCCTGTGCAACGGGAAGGAGCAAGGTGAGACGCTGCGGCGGGCAGGGGAGCGCTGGCCTGCGATCTCAGCCCTCCAGCGCGGGGTGCTGGCTGGCGGGGGCCTGGGGCCCTGCCCTGCCCATGATCCGGTGCAAGGGGTTGTCTGAGCTTAGACCCCAGAGCCCCTACAGTGAAGCAACTGAGTCTCTGAATGACAGGGTGACCTTGACCCTAAATGCAGGGGAGACCTTGGCTGAGAAGGACGAGGCGACCTGGCTTCTAAGTGATGGGGCAACGTGGCTTCCCTGATCCTTCCTGGCCCGTGCCTTATCCCAAGCAGATGGGCCGACCTCGTGGAGGATGAGGAAGTGCCTGGTCCACCCCATATGGCACTGAGGTGTCCCTAGCCCCCATCTAGCCTCACTGGCTTCGAGGGACCCCGCCCCCCAGCGCACCAAAGGACGCAGAGATCCCCAGACATGGCTTCTCTCAGGTTCTGGGCTGGGGCGGGGCTGGGCTGAGGGTCCTGCTGCTCTTCACCCGGGAATCTGGGCCAGAAAATGTCCTAAATGTCCTCAGGAGATGCAGGTGATGGGAAGGGTCATGTTGAGGGCGAGGGGGAGACGTGCCGCCGTGGCGGGGCTTTTGCCCTGCACGTGACCCACCCCTCATGTCTCCGCACCACGTGGTCCCCCAGGCAGCCCCAGGAGTGACCCAGAGAACAGAGCCAGGAATAGCCCGAGCACAGCTGGCTGCCCCCCGCCCCGGGAAGGAGGAGGAGGAAAAACATTCCAGAGAGGAGGGAGCACCCCGGAAGGTCGGAGGGAGTCACCCACACCCTGGTTTGGCCCGCAGGGGAGCGCACTTTGAAACGTCCCACTGGTTCCCCTCGGCTTGATGGACTTTTCCCGAGCAGCCTGGCTGGGCCCCGGGGCTTTCTGGTCAGGCGCTAGGCACTGGCAGTGACAGGCAGGGCCGAGCTCGGGGCTGAGTCTGGCCTCAGCCTTGGTGGTGCCAGATCTGGCGGAACCATCTCCTCTCTGGGGTCCCAGCCTTCCCCCGGGGCTGCCCTTGCTTCCTGAGTCCCCAGACAGCCCCAGCCTTGGCACTTCGGGTCTGGCAGGAGGGCACGCCGCACGGTGACCTCTCGAGAGGCTTTGCCACGCTCCCTGCCTGCCTACCTCCCAGCATTCATCAGCCGAGCACCGCGAGGACTGGCGCTGCGTGGCCCCCCGCCCCTCTTACCGGCGCCGCCCGGTCCCAGGGTCCCTCTCGCCGGCGATGCCCGGGGCCCTCCTCAGAGGCACCGCCTGCTCAGCCAGCTGCAGTTCATTTGTGGAGCCACCATCCAGCCCGTTTTGTCCTAGAGCTGAGTGCGGCATCCGCGATGTTGAGGATGGGGCGGAAAACGCTGAGAGCCAGCTTGGCTCTTGTGCCTGTGCTCCCCCTGACCATCCTGTGCCTTGTCTCTGCACTGTGCCGCCTGTTGCCCCCCACCCCCTGCCCCCCGGGCTGCTCTGTGTCCTGAGCCCTGTGCTTCCGGCCCAGCCTCTGAGGGGCCTCTGGCCACTCCCGCTCTCATCTCAGTCCCTTTGACCACCAGTGTGTGAGCCGGGGTGTGCGTCTGTCTGTGCCGTTGCGCACGTGTCAGGTGTGTATATGCACGCACCGGTAGTCTGTGTGTGCTTATGTCCACGTGTATGTGAGTGGTATGAGCAGGTATTCACATACGTGTGCGCGTGTGCAGGGGCCTGTGTGCTCCCGCCATGCCCAGCACATTCCCTCGCTGCCCCTCCCAGGGCCCAGCCTAGCTCCGTGGGCAGACTCGGGAGAGAGCTGCTGGCTGCCTTAACGGCCACGTTTCTGCCCTGTCCCTGACGCCTGCCTGTTTGTCCTCATCATTTCTCGACAGTTAAGAGGAAGAAGAGCGCCAAATCCGAGACCAAGGGGACAGCGTCGAAGGTGGCCGGGAAGAAGATCACCAAGATCATGGGGCTGGGAAAGAAGAAGCCGTGGACAGACGAGCAGACGTCCTCCGCCGAGGAGGACGTGCCTACCTGCGGTAAGACTGGCATGGCATTGCTCCCAGCATGAGTCAGGGAAGCACGTGGCGGGGCCAGCAGCGCACAGGCCCTCACCTTCACGGTGACAGTCACACACTTGAAATCTTTCCCGTGAAGCCGTTTTTTTTTTTTTTTTTTTTTTTCTTTTTGGGTCACACCTGGCGATGTACAGGAGTTACTCCTGGCATTGCACTCAGGAGTCACTCCTGGCGTTGCTCAGGGGACCATATGGGATGCTGAGAATCGAACCCGGGTCGGCCGCATGCAAGGCAAACGCCTTACCAGCTATGCTATCTCTCCAGCCACGTTTCGTTTTTCTAAAACTCGAAGGCCCAGGCTGGAAGCGCAGGTGCCCAGGGAGGATGGGACGCACCTGTCCCCCTGCCACTTTGTTCTTTGTGGCATCAGTGGTGCTCAGGGCTGACTCCTGGCTTTGCACTCAGGGATCACTCCTGGCAGGGCGTGAGGGACCCTGTGGGTCCGGCCTCTTCAGGGTGAGCGCCCTCCCCACTCTGCTGTCATTTCCCTGTTTTGTTCTTGACCTTGAGTAGTGGCTATTGGAGGTAGCACTCGGGGTGTTCGTGAAGGACCCATGTGTTGTGACCAGAATGCCAGGGCCCACAGCAGCCTTTCAGCTGGACTAGGAACCTGAGATACCCCCAGTTCCCTCCGCCCCTCCCCCCACACACCCCAGGACGTTGACAGTGTGCCGTGTGTGGCTCTCAGGCCCCTGGACACATGATCTGGGGGTGCGTGTGCAGGACCAAGGTGCTTCCCATACCCCCTCTCGTGGGGCCTTCCCTGAGCAGATTCTAGCCCAGAGCTGCCCCCCGCTGGACAGGGTCCCCCCTCACACACCACTTGCCTGTCCGGCAGCCTTCTGCTGCCCATCCTGAAGGACACGGGCCTGAGACTCTGGCCACCATGGCGGCGCTGCCGGTGCTGAGAACAGAGCTCCCCGGTGCCTGCCCTCCCAGGGGACCCCGGACCCGCAGCCCTCAGTTTTTTCCTTAGAATTGCTGCAGAAATCATCGTAAACCTCGCAACTGAAGTTTCCAAACTGATAGTGTGCAACAAGTAAAGCTGGCTGGCAGGCGTGGAGCACAGAACCCAGAACCAGCTGGCAGGGCCCAGAATCAGCGGTGGGACCCAGAACCAAATGCAGGGCCCAGACCAGCTGGCAGGACCCAGAACCAAATGCAGGGCCCAGACCAGCTGGCAGGACCCAGAACCAAAGGCAGGACTCAGAACCAAAGGCAGGGCCCAGAACCAGCGTCAGGACTCACAACCACACGGCACCACTCTGGGCTGTGGGCAGAGGCTGGGGGGCACTGGCGCCACCTGGTGGTGGGCGAGAGCAGCGCGGCTCCTTCCCCTTGGCCCTCTTTCCTTCCTGAGTGACCTTCCCTGCATCTGCCCGAGCCCCACCCAGAAGATGGGAATTTTGAGGCTGAGCTGTCCCTGTTGGGTGACCCCGTCAGGCCCCCACCTACACACTTCCCCCCCTTGCTGGTCCCCAGGCGCTTGGCAGGGACAGAGGCAAGGGAGCGGGGATTCATACACCACCACAGGCCCCAGCACGTGCGGGTCCACCACTCCTGGCACCCGCGGGGCTGCTGTACGCTCCAGGCAGGTCAGAGAATCTGGCGCCAGGCCAGAGAGACAGCACGAACCGCTGAGCTTCTTGCCTGGCACGTGACTGGCCCAGGCTTGATCCCCAGCACCACACAGGGTCCTTCAGGCTGCGCTGGGAGTGAACCGAGTGCAGAGCCAGTAAGCCCCAGCCACCACTGGGAGCCCAGAGCCAAAGAGGAAGAGGAAGTGACAGGATGTCAGGATCTGCGGGTTCTCAGCGCAGGCCAGGTGTCACTGGGTGGGCAGGGGCTCGGTCTCGGGGAGCTGAGCAAAACGGGGCACCCTCTGCCGGCCACCTGGAGCCGCTTAGCACCAGTGCCCGCGCCCGCCCTCCCACCTGAGCACATTGCCGGACCCGCCGACCACACCCCTGCAAGCTGGTTGTGCCGAGGCCTGGGGTTGCCCATGCTTTGGCTCCTCTGCGGTTTGCCTGGTGGCACCAGCATTTGGCCAAGGAGGACAATCCCCATGTACGTTGTGGCCTGCAGGGAACAACCCTGGGCTGGGGGCGGCGTCACACCTGTGCCTGGGATGGCCAGCTGCACGGGGTCACGGCAGACACCCAGGCCCTCTTTGGGTGTCAGTGCTGCCCCTGTACCCAGCTCTGAGGCTGCACGCGCTATTCCCGAGAGCATCTCGGCACTGGCCAGAGGGAATGTTGGTCCAGACCAAACGGGTGACGCAAGGCCGCAGCGGGGCCCCGCCATGCCATGCCACACCTCCACTCTCCAGACCCAGGTATCCTTCCTGGAAGGGCCGCCGGCTCTGGGCCTAGGGGCTGTCGGGGAAGTGGCAGCCCTGCAGACAGGGCGCAGGGCGCAGGGGAAGCCCGCCTTTGTGGGCGCTTTGCTGTTGTGTGTGTTTCTGTCTGTGGAGCCCCTGGCCGTGGCTGCCAAGTTGTAAGACTTGAAATATGAAAGGAGCCGGAGCCGCTTCCCACAACACCCGTAAGCGTGCTGCTCCTGAGCACTGTGTGTGTGTGTGTGTACCTGACGACATACGATCTGAAAGAGAAGCCGTACAGGGGTGTGAGGCATGTGCCCCATGTGCTGTGAGTCTGATACATGTTCCATGTGCCACGTGAGGTGTTTTTGTGCCGTGTGAGCTGTGTTTGTGTGCCATGTGAGGCGTGTTCTATGTGCTGTGTCTGAGGCATGTTCCATGTGCCGTGGGAGGTGTGTTCCACATGTGTGTGAGTTGTGTTCTTTGTGCCTGTGTGAGAGGTTACTCCACATGCCACGTGTGTTCCACACACGTGTGTGGGCATGTGCCCTGGTTCCGCATTCTACATACTCCCTTCCCCGGAGCAGCTCTTGTATAAGCCCAGCACTGTTGGGGCGACCCCCACAAAGCCCCCCCGCCCCTGTGCCCCTCCAGGGCTCACATGGCCACCATCCCCACAGGCTACCTCAACGTGCTGACCAATAACCGCTGGCGGGAGCGCTGGTGTCGTGTCCGGGACAAGCAGCTGGTCCTGCACAAGGACCGCACCGACCTCAAGACCCACCTGGCGTCCATTCCACTGCGGGGCTGCGAGGTGATCCCGGGCCTGGACGCCAAACACCCCCTCACCTTCCGGCTGCTACGCAACGGCCAGGAGGTGGCGGTACTGGAGGTGAGTGAGGCGGGCTGGGCTAGGGACCTGCGGGTGTGGCTGTGCGAAAGAGGGGACCAGGACTGGTTTTGGACAAATGACTTTTCTGGGTGGGCACCTGAGGGCCGCCTTCCACGGAGCCTGGGGTTTCAGAGGTGCCCCTGAGAGCTGGACTGCGCCCAGGAGCTGGCTTTGCCGGTGCACTGGGCAGCCAGCCGCGGTTTCCCGTGCTGGCTCTGCCCTGGACTCTGGCTGGCCAGATCCTGTCTCTCGGAGTCTCGGCCATTAGCGTGCGGGAAGCTCCTTGGGGTCGCACTGGCAGCAGGGTACACACGTGGATCGTCAGCGAGGAAATTGCCCTCGATCTGACAGCATAGGTGTGCGTATGCACCCGTGTGCGTGCATGTGGACACGCATAGCCTTTGCCCCAGCAGAGTTCTGCTATGTATGGGAGCCATGTCGATTGCCAGGCATGGTGGCGTCACATGGTTCTTGGACCTCTGATTCCGAAAGACAGATTTGTGGGCCAAGGACAAGAGCCCGATGTCCCCTGTCCCCATGTCCCCCAAACAACAAGCAACCTTGGTGGGACTTTGGCTCATTCTCTGAGTGGGTTTTCGAAACTTCCACGGATGTGGGGGGTTCATTCCCAGGGAGTGCAGCAGAAGTACACTTCCAGGACGGCTGCAGGAAATGACTGTCCGTACACGTTCTTCAGCGCTAAGGTACTCAGCAAGATGCCCGGTAATCCCACAGCCAAGAGATTCCATCCTGGGGCTGGAGCAATAGCACAGTGGGTAGGGTGTTTGCCTTGCACACGGCCGACCTGGGTTCGATTCCCAGCATCCCATATGGTCCCCTGAGCACCACCAGGGTTGGTTCCTGAGTGCATGAACCAGGAGTAACCCCCTGTGCATTGCTGGGTGTGACCCAAAAAGCAAAAAAAAAACCCTAATAAAAAAAAAGAGATTCCATCCTGCTGCAGCTGCCCTCCGCTGCATCTGTAAAGAGTCTCTGTGAATTTGTGGGACTGCCTGTGATGTAGGACTACATTCTTTCTCTGGGTGTGGGGGAGGTTCTGTGGTGTGGGGTAGGGGTAGTGTTATCCCTAAGAGTGTGGAAAGTTCCATTGAACAGAGCAGTCTCACTGTGTGTGAAAGGATCCCGGTGGAGGAGAATATTCTTTCACGGAGTGTGTGGAAGGTTTTGTGGCGTGGGAGGACTCCCCGAGTGTGTAGGAGGTGGTGTGGTGTGGGACCACACTCTGAATGTGTGAAAGGCATGAGCGCAGGCCCGGAAGCTGGTGGAGAAGGGCCTTATACACAGTGACCTGGTATGTGTACGTGGCCCGTATGCAGTGTATGTTACTCCTCTTAGTGGTTTCTGCTGCCTGATTGGTTACACCCTGTGAGTTCATCCATTTGGGACAAAGGTTCTTTTCATATATGCAGACTTTAGCGTGGGATGATTGTGGGCCTAGTAATGTACATGCAAGATGAGTCATCTGCTCTCATGGGGACCGTTCATGTCACACATGCAAGTTCGGTGTGAAATATGATCCTCGAGGTCTGGGGCTGCATCCTTTTCTGCTCGCTTTCTCCTAAGCACGCGGTTGGCCCTCGCTCAGGGAGTGTGTGGATGGCCCTGTGGGGACTGAGTGGTGTGGGGTCTACCGCAGGGGGTGGGCGTGGCCGCCTCCCGGTGGTAGCGAGGTGCTCGCCTTCCTCTCTCTCTTCCCATTTGCCTGTTTCCGGGGCCGAGGCTTCTTTTCTTTTCCCGCTCTTCCTGCTCTCCGCAGCCTCTAGTGGGGGGACTAAACTTCTCCCTGCTAACCATCCCCTTCTCCCCGTGGGCAGGCTGCCTCTTCTGAGGACATGGGCCGGTGGATCGGCATTCTGCTGGCCGAGACGGGCTCTTCCACCGACCCTGCAGCCCTGCACTACGACTACATCGACGTGGAGCTGTCTGCGAATGTCATCCAGACAGCCAAGCAGACCTTCTGGTAAGTCCAGGATGGGCCTGGGCGCTGCACAGAGGGGTTTTGCCTTTCTCAGCCTTTAACTTTCAGGGACTCTCTTGCTGGCAGTGGGATAAGCAAGTGGGCCTGGTTTTGTCAACAAAAGTTAGACCCGGGGTTCGTTGTCAAATATTTGGAAGAGGAATGATTCTAGAAATAATCAGCAAAAGAATTAGGTTATAAAGAGAGACTGGAGTGGTGGTGTAGTGGGTAGGGAGGACACTTGCCTGGGATGTGGCCAACACAGATTTGATCCCCAGCATCATACATAGTTCCCCGAACTCCTCAAGGGGTGCTCTCCGAGCGCAGAGTCTGGAGTAAACCCTTAGTGCCACCAGTGCGCACCCCCAACACACACACACACACACACACACACACACACGTGTTATGGAATGTTCTAATCCTGTTATGTTTGATCTTGTTATTTCGGGGCCTCCCCATAGTGTTGGGCACCACCAGAGGCTCATCTGGCACCGTCCTGTTGTGGTCAGTGAGCAAAGAATGTCCATCTGGGGCTGGGGAGATGGTGCAGTTCAGAAGACCCCAGTTCCACCCCTGTCACCGCATAGGGTCCTTCAGACACAGCCAGGAGCGATTCCTAAGCACACCTGAGGAGGGAGGGAGGGAGGGAGGGAGAGTAGGAAGGGAAGGAGAAAGGGAGGGAGGGAAGGATGGTAGTGCATCAGGTAGGGCGTTTGCCTTGCACACGGCAACCCGGGTTCAATCCCCGGTTTTCCTACAGTCCCTCAAGCACCTCCAGGATTAATTACTGAGTGCAGAGCCAGGAGTAACCCCTGACATTGCTGGATCTGCCCCAAAAACAGTATGGAGGGAAGAAAGGAGGAAGGAGGGAGAGAGGGAAGGGAGGGAAGGAAGGAAAGAAGGAAGGAGGGAGGGAGGCAGGCAGACAGGTAGGCTGACAGCTCACGAGCCCCCTGCAGTTTCTTTCAAACCCAGTCTGCCCCCCGCCCCCGCCCCCAGCACAGGACCAGGGCTTCCTCCTTCCCTAGGGACTGGATTCGGGGTTCTCAGGGACTAATGTGCTCCCTGCTCCCTGTGTTCTAGGGAGAGGCCACCCAGCATTTCTGGTAGCAGCAAGGGTGACCTCATAGGCAACTCCTCTGGGCTGTCACTGTTAACTTGGCCACCAGCAGCCACCAGACCCCCAACCCCATGGTCCTGCTGTGCGTGACCAGTGGTGTCTATCCAGTGACTGCAACTTACCGGGGGCAGAAAGCGGAGGGTGAAGTTGGGCCAAACCCAGGCTCTCTGGCTGCTTCCTGATTGGATCCCTGCTGGGCCACTCTGCCCGACAGAGGCCGGCATGCACAGGGGAGCAGGGGGAGGGGCCAGGGACTCCAGGTCCCTCTGCCACCGCTGGGGACAGCCTGGAGAGGAAGATGGCGCAGGCGTTGGCATTGAAGTTCGCTTTGCACGAGCCGCCACCTCCGCCCGTGCCCCGTGGGTGTGAAAGGTCTGAGCAGGCTTCCCCGGCATGGGGTGCTGTGGCCCCTCGGGAAGCAGCACATGTGGCTCCCACAGAGCCCTGAGCGGATGGTGCGGGTTGGCCTCGTGCAGTGCGCAGTGAGGGGCGAGCGCCTCCAGCTGACAAGACCCTGCTTTGCCCACAGCCCCAGCCACACGCCGCTGTCCTGCTTGTCTGCCAAACTGAGTGGGGACTGGCACAGTGGCCCGCCCTGAGGCAGCGCCGTGCCCACTTCCTGGGAACGAAAGCGCCTCAGGGCGGGTTTGGGAAACCCTGGGCTTGGCCACACCCCACGCACTTACCACTGAGGGGAGTTAGCTGTGAGCGGACGGTCTGGAAGTCAGCAGACACCCCACGTCTCAGGCCTCTTTCACCCGATGTCACGTTAACATCTTCAGCTGGCATCAGCAGGCTGGATGGCACTCTCACGGGAAAGGCTGAAAGTGTCTGTCCCCTAGCGAGGCCCATGGACAGCAGAGTGAGACGCAGCTGGAGCCGTGGCTGTGAGGCCTGTGGCTCCCCCTCCGGCCTGAGCAGGACACTTGTCCTCGATCCAGTGCCGCCGTCGTTGCCCTGGACTGCTTCCGAGGGCTGTGGTTGTCGACCTGGGCCCTCTGTAGTGTCCGGGGGGCAGGGGGATGGCAGCCTCACTTGGACCCACACAGGGCCCAGCCAGGGCCCAGGCAGTGAGGCCACCTTGGGGCAGCCCCCACTGCGGGGTGTTCATGCCCCGCTGCTCGGCAGGGCGGGGCTTCCTGCCTGCATCCTCCGGCGGGACCCCCGCTTCTGCTGGCACCCCAGTCTCCACAGCACCCACGTGCCGGTCAGAGGCAGCCTGACCTGTGCTTTCCTTCCAGCTTCATGAACAGGCGTGGCCTGTCCACCAACCCCTACCTGAGCGGCTCCGCCAATGGCTACGCCCAACCCAGCGCCTCTGGGCTGCACTACGACGATGTCCCCTGCGTGAATGGCACGGTGAGTGCCCCCTAGCCTGCCAGCCCGGAGGGCAGGAGAGCAGGAACCTCCTGGAAGGTGTGCCCCAGCCCTCTGCCCGGGCTGCCTGGTGCCTGTCCTGTCCTGTCCTCTCTCCTGGGCTGGCCTGGGCTTCCGTGACCTGCAGGGGAGCAGGCAGTGCTGACCCAGCGCAGTGCTGCGGCTCCCTCGGTGCTGGCTCGGGCCGACACTGTGCCTGGGCCCTGCCTGTGGGAAGGACACCGTGTCCCTGGGCAGCCGCGTGGCACCTCCAGGGGACCGAGCTTGTCTGGACCCCCAATGAGAGCCCAGTGACCTGACCACCCCCACACCTGGGGGCTGGGGGGCGGCACTGGATCGAGGACAAGCACTTGTGACCCAGTGGTCAGGCCCTGGCCCGGGATTGGCTGTAATGGGCACAGCTGAGCCTCAGCGCTTACTCTCCTGGGGCACCCTCAGACCAGGCCATGAGCCTGGGTTCCCCATCTTCTCTCCAGCTCCCTGCAGACACCTTGCCAGCTGAGTTTTTGGGTCCCTGCTAGCATGGTGGCAGGTCCTCCAGTTTGACCTGTGTGGACCTGGCCGAGTCCTCCCAGCTCTGCCACGGCCAGTAGGCGCATGGGCAGAGCCTGAAGTTCCTCACCTGGGCTGCGTCTCATCCACTGTCTCTGTCCCAGCCTCGGTGCCCTTCCGGCACCCCTGTCTCTCCACCCTCAGGCCTGCAGACATCTGTGTGGCCTGTCCCCCATGCTGGGAAGCAGCCTCTGGACTCTCCGGGTCGCCTCCCTCCCCCATGGACATGAGTCCAGCGCTGCTGACCTCAGCCCCGTCCCTGAGGTCATTTATTCCCTTCCTGGCTATGTTCCACCCGCCCTGCCCCAATGGCAGTTACTCTGTTTGTGTGTGTGTGTGTGTGTTGGGGGGGGGGGTGTTCCGGGTGTTTGCTGGGCAGCTGGGGACAGTGGACTTTGCTCCCATGCTCCTGGGCATAAGAGTTCCCGTGTCACCGTGGCCCATTCCCTCCTGACGGCCAGACTTGCAGACCCTCCTCACACGCCCGGAGGAGGAAAGGGCATCACCAAGAGAAGACACGTTCCTCCCCCAGATCCAGAAGCTTCCCCAGCGTTTTCGCTGCCCATGTGCCTTCCTCGAGGGTATTTTAGGACAGGCGGGTCAAGTCTAGACGGTCTAATGCCAGACGAGCCCAAGGCTGGTCATTACGCTGCCACCGGCCCCTGCAGTGTCCGTTCCTTGAGATAAGAGGAAGATGGGTTCCCGGCACCATAAACAGACACAGGGACTGGCGGGCTGGCGCCAGGCCTCTGTGGGCTTCTAGCAAAGGCTGTGCTCGGTACGGGAGGCCGAGGACGGAAAGGACAGCCTGAGGGTCATGGCGGCACGTAGGCCTCTGCATGGGGTGTGGGCAGTGGCAGTGCACAGCTTCCGCGCCCGCCCTTCCTCTTGACAGTTGCTCCCTGGCTGGTGCTCGTGAGGCTGGGAAGTGCCTGCCAGCCCCAAGGCCTGTTTCCTATTGCAACTCACGTATCTCTTAACGGTTTGGTTCCAGCATGTTCTGCAGGTGCACCAAGCATGGAACTCGGGGTGTGGATTGTCACCCCTGCCGGCGAAGCCAATGAGTGTGGGTGGGGACACAGCCACAGCCGGGGGCCTGCGGCTCTGAGGCCATGAGCACTTGCAACTGAGCCTGGCTTTCGGCTCCCGAGGGCCTCTGTCTGCATGTGTGCCAGTGTGCGCGTGCGTGTGCAGATCTGTGTGTTGTTATGCTCTTGCGTGAGTCCATGTGTCTGCGTGTGTGTGTGTGTGTGTGTGTGTGTGTGTATGTGTGTGTGTGTGTGTGGTGCTGTGCATGCCCGGGCCCTCGGCCAGCGCATGGAACTGCTAACCACTCTGCTTCTGCGGCCGCGGCACTAACCACCCCCGGCTGTGTGTGTTGCAGTGGGAACCGGAAGACGGCTTTGCTGCTGCGCGAGGCAGAGGCCCGGGAGAAGAGGTGCTTTATGATAACGCAGGCCTGTACGATAACTTGCCGTCTCCGAAAATCTTTGCACGCTACCCACCTGCTGACAGAAAGGCTGCTAGGTCACCTCCCGACAAACTGCCCTGTAACCATTACAAGCGGCCCGCCTGCGGCCCGCCCTGCTCCCAGTCTCTCACTAACACCTCTTCCGTGGGGAGGGCGTCTCTCGGGCCCAACTCCCAGGTACTGCACCCCATCCCCACGGTTCTAGAATGATCCCTAGTTGGCAGCGCCACTGAGCGTCCAGCTAGTGTAAAGCCGACCTGGGTCTTGGTCTTCTGAGATGTGCCTTCCCCGGGCCAGCCCTGTACAGCTCCTGGGTGTCCCTCGGGCCGTCTGGGCTCCGTGGCTCCTGAGTCGGGTCTGTGAAGCCACAGGTCTCCCTTGCGGCTTGCGGGCATCCCCCAGCGTCTTGAGGAGGTCCCCGAGCTGCGCTGCCTGGGCTGAGGAGGGTGGTGGTGGGGTCTTTGCCCAGAGCTGGTTCCTTCGTGGGGCACTCACAGGGCCCCCTCGGGCAAGCTCTGGGGTTCTCGAGGAGCAGTCAACTGGGCCCTCAGACTGGAGGCTGGCAGAGGTGTCACAGAGATCCGTCTGTCGCGAGGCCCCCACTACTGCCCGCGCTCCGTGGCCGCTTCGCTTCCCTCCCCGCCCGGCTCCCAGCGGCTTTGCCCTGGCGTGGGTGTCTCGGGACGGGGCGTCCAAGCTAAGGCAGGAGGGCCTGGCTGGGGGGTCTGAGGCTGTCCAGGGCTGTGGTGACCTTAACAGACTCACCCGGCAGGTCACACGCCAAGCTCCCGCTCCCTGGCCTGGAGCCACCTTTGGTGAAGCATCTGGCTGCCATCAGCACCTCCAGCGTGGGCTACATCCCTTTAGCCTGGTCGGGGTCCCAGGTCACTGCCTGCATGGCACCCTGGCTGTGGGAGGGCGTGCCCGAGGCTCCCCTGTGCCCGTGCATGGGTTCATGTTCCCTGCATGTCGCCCGCATATCTTGGACATGGGGTGCTGGCGAGCTGCCGGTGGCGACAGCCCGAGGCTCCTGCTTTCACATGGGCACACAGGAGTAGAGAAAGCTCCACGCGGTCTTGCCAGTGGCCCATGGCAAGGCCTGTGCCCGGGTCGCGCCCCTCGGGGGAGTGGGTAGAGTCGCACATGGGCTCCCTTTTGGTGCCCTGAGTGATGCAGCGGCTACATACATGCCACTTAAAAACGTCAGTGCTGGGGCTGGAGCGATAGCACATGGGTAGGGTGTTTGCACGCAGCTGACTAGGGTTCGATTCCCAGCATCCCATAGGGTCCCCTGAGCACTGAATGCAGAGACAGGAGTAACCCCTGCGCATCGTCAGGTGTGACCCAAAAAGCAAAAAAAAAAAGTGTTGGCCTGGAGCACCAGTGGCTCACATCACATTACAGCAGCGGCTCCCCCTGAAGCAGAACTGGCAGCTGCCCACCTTCAGGTGCTCGGCTTGGGCAACCGCCACCCGTCCCGTCTCCACAGAGCTGCCAGGAGACCAGGCAGTGCTGAACCCCAGACGCAGGAGGCGCCACCCGTGCTCATGGCCCGCGTTCCTGGGTTAGCGCTGCCAGAGAAATTCTCTCGCACCGCACTCCCCGCTGATGCCCAGAGCACCTTGTGGGTAGAACCTTGTGGCCGCAGCCCAGACTCCTGCTCGAAGATCACTGGGGCAGCTGGTGAGGATGCGCAGGCCCATCGCGGTGCTTGATTCCACCCTGTGTCTGTGTCCACAGCTGAAGGGGAAAAAGCCCCCCCTCGCCTCCAACGGGGTCGCGGGCAAGGGGAAGGCTCTGAGCGGGCAGCCGAGGAAAGTGGACGCGGCCACCGGAGTGAAGCGCAGCGCCTCAAGTAAGTGGGGTCCTGGCCTGTGTGCTCTTCCCCCACGGCTGCCGAGGCTGCTCAGAGTCCCCCGTCTGTCTGGAGGTCGCTGGTGCCACAGGGCCCAGGTGAAGTCACTGGGACGGCTCCTGCGTGCCCAGTGCTGCGGTGGTTGTGGATGGGAAGGTCCTGAGGGCTCCATGGCAGCCAGGGGCCAGCCTGCGGCTCCCAGGCTGATCCTTTACAGGGACACAAAAATCAGAGTCCCCGGGGATGTCCCCTCTTGAAGTGGACAGGCAGTGCCCCCAGTGGTCCTTGAGGCTACTTCCCAGCACCCATTCCACCCCCGTGGTCACAGGTGCCCACTCTGAGACTGGTCGAAGTGACCACACCTCCCCATCCACCCCGAGTATCAGTGGGGGACAGCCAGACCCCTGGCCACTCTGTCTTAGCTTTGTGACAAAGCCCCAAAGCCCTTTCCAGGCGGGCACAGGCCACAGCCCAGCAGGGCCTATACCCCCTGCCCCCACGCCTGTTGGTCTGGGCCTTGGTGGTCTTGCTCGCGGCCGTGGGGCCTGGGTGGGCATCATGGAGTTCCTTGGGGGCCAGAGACGCTGCCGTTTCCCTGGAGAAGGCTCTGGTCAGAGCTTCTGTGTCTGGACAGACTCTTGTCCTCTGGGTGAGTGATTGGTGTCATGTTCCTGGGGTGACCTGGGTCAGAGGCCAGCATGGCTGCTCCACGTGGCCCGTACGTATTTCTTGGAGCGGGACCGAAGCGTCTCGAGTTTATTGTGATCCTGCTCTGGCCCACTTCCTTACTCTGACGGGGAGACAGGGGTCCCCTGAACCTTCACCCACTCAGACAGGACAGGCTGGGCCCTGCCTTCTGCGCCCAGTGGTGTGCCCCCCATGCCTCATCCTTCCCAAGGGTTGTGGGGGTTCAGCTGCCTCTCTGGGGGGGCCCGAGCAGCCACCCTGTTTGCTAGAGGCCAGCAAGCTGTGCCTGAGCGGGAAGGCTCATCACGTGGCTGGACAGTGGCGGGGCTGTGATTGGCGCGGTAGCCAGCAGTGCCGTGGTCCTGTGGGGTGATGGGCGGTGGTGGCGGGGCAGGGAAAGGCTCTGTGGCTCTTGGCGCCCCCTTAGGCCCGGACTCAGCGCTGTGGCCGCCCCATGCTTGCGATTCGCCTCACTTGGCGGCTTTGCCTGTGATTCTGGCAGGCTGTGAGCCGGGTTTACGCTCTGGGGCCGGCCGAGCCCTGCCCTGGACGTGGTCCAGCTGAGCCCCTGCCCCTCTCGTCCAGCCACCCCCGCCCTGGAGGCGGGCCCAGCTGTGCCTGCCCTGGGGGATGCCGGCCGGTGGGTCCATGCTGCCTTCTCCCTGCGCTTTGCCTTTGAGATGCCGACCAGTACAAGTACGGCAAGAACCGCGTGGAGGCCGACGCCAAGCGGCTGCAGAGCAAAGAGGAGGAGCTGCTGCGGCGGAAGGAGGCGCTGCGGAACCGACTGGCGCAGCTGCGCAAGGAGCGCAAGGACCTGCGAGCGGCCATCGGCGTGAACGCGGGCGCCAGTGGTGTGCGGGCAGTGGGCAGCGGCGGGCACGGGCAGGCGAGGGAGACGCGCGGGGCCCTCGGGAGGGGAGGGCACGGCGGCCCTCTGAGTGGTGCGTGTCGCAGGCCGGAGGACGCAGCAGGCCCTGGAGGAGAAGCTGCGGCGGCTGGAGGAGGAGTGCCGGCAGCAGGAGGCCGAGCGCGTCAGCCTGGAGCTTGAGCTGACCCAGGTGCAGGAGAGCCTGCGCAAGGCGCTGGCCGGCGGCGTCACGCTGGGGCTGGCCATCGAGCCGCGCTCGGGGACGTCCAGCCCGCAGGTAGGCCGGCCGTTTCTGGGGCTGCTGCCCGCCTGGGCCTGCCAGGCCCGGGGGGACCCGCTGGGTTTGGGCTTCACTTGGCCCGGACGGCTGGAGACCGGCTTGGCCCAGAAGGGAGCGTGTGGCACTCGTGCCGCACTTGGCCACACACCCAGCACAGGCGCTGTGCCCCCTGCCCTCTCCTCACTCGGGCAGGAGGGGCAGCTGGGTGACCCTGAGCCCCGCGCCGTGCTGGGAAGATCTGCCGTGTCCTGCACGCGGCAGACGGTGTCCCTCTGTCCCAGACAGACAAGTTTCCCCTGGAGCCTGGAGCCCACCGGGCACCCCGACCCCAGCCTCAGCTGCCCCATACGCAGGGTGTGGGCAGCTTCAGGGATGCATGAGGGGAGGTGTGGGGGCTGGTGATTGGGAGCACGGGGTCCCGGGCCCCGAGTGACCCCTCTCCTGCTGGCAGCCTGAAGCTCACCCTGCTTTGCCTTGGTCCCCAGTCCCCAGTTGCTCGGCACCGTACACTGGAGAACTCACCGCTCTCCAGCTGCGAGACGAGCGATGCCGAGGGCCCGGTCCCCGTCAACAGCGCCGCAGGCCTGAGGAAGGGCCCACCCGGCGCCCTTGGCAGCTCCCCGTGCCGCGGCCATGTGCTGCGCAAGGCCAAGGTGAGCATCAAGTGCTGATGCCAGCGTGGCACGGCGACGGACCCCAGCAAGCCGTGTGGGGCTGAGGCGGGTCTGACCTGGAGCTGGTGGGTGCTGGGTGAGCCAGTGGCCGGGAAGGGCGTCTTCAGCGTGGACCCTGGCTGAGGGACCGTCCTTGGGCGCCCCCGGGCCGGCGGGGCCAGTGGCTCTGGGTCTGCTCTGGGTCTCCCAGGCCGGTGCTGGTCCGCAGCAGGGGAGGGGGCCGCTGGCTGCAGAGACTGTTTCTAGCTAAAACGCTGGTGGCGTCACCCGGAGCCACGGGAGCTCTGCGCGCCCGGGTCTCAGGGAGGCTCCTGCTGCCTGTGGCGGTGCTGTTCAACCCCAGGGCCCTGGGGTCTGTCCGCCACGTAGGCCTGGTGGCCCCTGCAGGGATGGGTGGCATCAGCGAGTCCCACCAGTCACGGGCTTCTCTGCACTCCATGTTCCTGGGAAGGCCCCCCTCTTCTACACGTCCACGTCCCTAGAGGGCTGACGTCTTTGTCCTGGTCCGGCCTGTGGCCTCCTCACTGTGACCCCGTCTCGCCTGCTAGGAATGGGAGCTGAAGAACGGGACCTAGAGGAGGGCTGGCCACGAGGCGGCCTGTAGGCTCCGCCCCCAGCGCCCCCCTCAGGACACCCCTCCGTGGCCGGAGCAGCCTTGTCTTCCCTGCCGTGTGACGGAGCCCACAGACACGGCTTCTCTGGTCCCCTCCTGCCTCGCTCAGAACCAGAACGAGGCTCCGACGCCATGCCCAGTCCCCCACCTGGCCTTCCAGCACGAGTAGGACGAGGCGTGGAAGGTGCATCCCGCCGCACCCCACACTCTGGCTGTGCTCGACTGCCAGAGGACTGACCTTGCACTCCTGCGGCTGCCACTGCCTGGCCCCCTCGCCGGCCATTTGTGCAGCAGCTTTGACCTTCTGGTCACTTTCTTCTGGACAGAGACCGTCGCTCCCGGGGACGGGGAAGCTGCCAGTCTGGAGACTGTGTCTGTCTCGTGTCCTGGGTTCAGAGCTCCCACCCCCTGGTCCATCATGTGCCCAGCTCTGGGGAGGTGTCCAGAGTTTCTCCACTGCCAGGACGGAGTGACTCAGTCTTGATCAGAACCAACCATGGACACAGAACCTTCTGGAACTCCGGCCTCCGACTGTGGCAGTGCACTCCCCCGGCTGCCTCTCACAGGCCTGTCTCTGCTCTGCCCTGCCTTGGGCGTTTGGGGGGCGGGGACAGATGCCACCCCTTGAGCCAGGTGAGGGGGAGCATGTGTGTAATGACACCCCAGATCCTGTGGGGCCTCATGGGCGGGCAGACGGACCTCCCCACTGTCTAGCATAAGGCCAGGGTCCTGCCCGCTGCCCCAGAGCCCCCTGCATGTCCTCTGTGGGAGACAGCTGCCAAGGCATGAGGCTTGCAGGAATCGGGTGGTGTGCCCCTGAGCCCAGTGGCAGAGCCAGCCCCAGGTGTTTCTGCGTGTTGGCGGCCTGTACCCTCTTTCCAGAGCTTCCTCAAGGCTTCGCCACCCTGGCTGGCGCTCTCTGGCACGCTGGTCTGTGGCTTCCCCAGAGCGGGCTTCTGGGGGGAGATGCCCTGCCCGGCATCAGAGGGAGCACTCCCTGCCAGGATCACCCGGCCAGAGCCCGCCTCCAGGGCACCCCACCCCCAACACAAACCTCGGGCCTGCCGGCTCAGCTGCAGGTTCGCCCCCTTCATAGCCATAACCCCCGCGTCCTGCTGCCCGTCCCTGCCGCCCTGGTCTGGGCTGTCACTGCCAGTGTTTGTAACCGTAAGTTATTTATTTGTACATGTTGTTAGTCGCTCCTCTAATTTATGTGTGTATATAGTAGGTGCGTAGCTTCCTTCAGCCAGCCCTGCCCTCAGCCCCACTGGCGCCCGGTCCCAGAAGCAGCCTCGAGGGCAGGTGGCCCCTCCTGTGACCGGCCTTCCCAGCCCCGAGCCAGCCCCTTCACCCACACAGCAGGCGTCTGAGTTTGGGTGCGGGGCCCAGGACCACCAGCCTCAGCTCCCACCACATTTATGTCCGACAGAAGCTCAGACACACCAGCAAAGAAACGGCGACCGCATGGCCTCTCTTCGTGCCCTGGGGTCACCCTCCCGCCCTCCTTGGGGCTGTCCCCAACCCCTGCTTCCTGACTGGCAGGAGTGCTTCCCCCACCAGAAAAGTCTGTTCCAACCACGTGTACCCTGGGCCAGGGGTGGGGACAGATGCAGCCCTGACCACCTCTGGGGGTGGCCACTGCCCTGTGACCCACATTTCCTCCTTGAAGACCAGCGCTGCCAAGGGCGGCCCTCTCAAGGGCATGCCCTAGCATCCTCCTGCTGCTGGGTTCTGGTCAGCCTCCACCAGGCCCGCACCACAGGCCGTGCCTCAGTTGACCTAGTGTCTCCGAAACACCGAGCCCAGAAACTTGCCTTCCTTTTTTTCCTTAAAATAACGTTTTCAGGGCAAAAGCCATTTCAAATCATGGTCTACACTATTTGTCATTCTGCCTCCTTTGGGGGACCAGGGGTCACCCCCACCCAGCCAGGAGGGGCTCAGTCCCCTTTGCACGTCCTGGGGAGTGGGGCTGTGCAGTCGTGTTTGGCTCTGCAGTCTTAGCAGCCCAGGGCGTTATCCGGGGACCTGATGTAGGACCAGCCAGTCCTCTTAGTGGCCAAAAGGTTTGCAGAAGACCCTTCTGTACACTTGAGAAATCATCACTTGGAAATCTGCACCAGCTTTTCGAACTCTGGGTAAAGTATTCAGGAGTTCACTGACCTTGGCTCAGTGCTGTCATATGTTTTCATAGGATGAATGTAATTACTTCCTTATTTTTTAAAAACAAGAGTCATATTGCGAATTCTCTTTGAAAGAAGCACGAAGGAGCAGGCGTTTGCAGTGGACCCTGTTCACTGCGCCCAGTTAATGACTGAGTCTGATTCATAGGGCCCATGTTGGGCAGATGGACACCTGGAATGTGGGCTTTGGACCGTACGCCCAGTTTTGTGACATCCCATGGGCCTCTCCTGCCATTTCTGCGGTTTCCCACGGTGCCCCGACGGGCGTCTCTGGCGCGACCCTCGAGTATGTGGAATAAAGCTGGTTCTTCCGACCCTTCTTGCCTCTCGAGCCCTGGTCCCATGTGCGGACGTGTTTGGGTGTGGCTTTCACTCCTGGCTGGAGCACCCCCAAAGGTGAAATATGGCCTCCGAACATGGCTCTAGTCACAGACCCAAAACTGAGTCATGCAACCCTGGTCTTGCCGTCTGTACCTGCAGGAGGGAGGCGGGCATCTGTGGGGCTGGGCAGGAGGGGGCGGGAGACGGGGTGTCTCCAGGCACACCAGGTCAGACAGCTGGTAGAGTGGCCGCAGCTGGGTCAGGTCCGGACCCTGGCGTGGTGTGGCCCGGGGTGCCTGCTGATAACTTGCCTCTGTCCCCTCCCCCAAAACGCAGCTTCTCGGTGGCTGTCACCGCCCCATCTCGCACCCCTCCCCATCATCATGCTGCCTGTTTGAGGGGTGAGACGCCCTGAGGTGGGCGGTGGGCAGTGGTCTCCAGGCCTCTCCCCAGGACCCCCCCATCCCTCCCACAGGAGCCACCTACCACTCCCAACCCACTTCTCACTGAGATCTCAGCTTGGGGGCTTCAAGGCGGTTTCACTTTTTCTGTTTTGACATTGAGTTTTAGCTTGTTTTTGTTTGGATACCACATCCGGTTCTGCTGAGTGCTCCCTAGTTCTGTGCTCAGGGGTTACTCCTGGCAGTGCTCGGGGACCTATGCAGTTCTGAGGATCACTTGGGGTGGGCTGCACACAAGGCAGGTGCCTTCCCCGTTCCTGTCTCTGGCCTCAAGTTGATTAATGCTAATTTTTAAGACCACTTGACCACTTGATCACTTGACTTCCCGTTAATCATCGATTTGCTCGAGCAGGTGCCAGTAACATCTCCTTTTGTCCCCGTCGCATGCTAGTGTAGCCCAATGGCATCTGTTCGTTCTAGGAACACGAAGAGCCTCAAACCGATCGTTCATAGTCTTGATGAAGAAGTTTGACCATCTGGTAGGTGGGCGGCCACGCGGTCTTTTGACATCCCGTGGAATCCAGTCGGTAACAGCTCTAGTCCAGCAGTTGTCTTTAAATCTCATTACGTGACCAGCCCATCTGATTTTCGACACCTTGGCAAATGAAACAGCGTCCCTGATTCTTGATAGTCGACGGATGTCAGAACTCCGGATTCTTTCTCTCATTTGAATAAAACGTGAAATTCCAAGCATAGCTCTTTCTATTCTTCTTTGGGAGACCTGAATAGCGTTCTCATCCTGTTTGCGTAGGGCCCAGGTCTCTGAGGCATATTTTAATGCAGGAAGAACAGTGGAATCAAAGAGATGTGCCCGGAGCCGGAGGTTCTTCGTCCTCTTAGCTATTTCTTCGACGCTCTTGAAGGCGTTCCAAGCCGCTCTCTTCCTCCTGCGCACCTCGGGTGCCAGGTCATTCGTCATGTGGACTTCTCGACTTAGGTACACATAGCTGTTGTATTCGGAGATGGTCGTTCCATTGAGAGCGAATGGGGTGTCAGAAACGAGGCTGTTTCTCATAAACATTGTCTTCGTAAGATTCAGCTGTAGTCCGGCCTTTCCACACTCACAGTCGAAGTCGGCCAGCATTTGTGCCGCTTGGCTAATTTTTGGTGTTATTAAAACAATGTCATCAGCAAAGCGGAGGTGGTGTAGTTGCCGACCATCTATCTTCACTCCCATTCCTTCCCATTCCAGTTGTCGTATGATGTTCTCAAGGGTGGCACTGAAGAGTTTTGGTGAAATGGTATCACCCTGCCGAACCCCTCTCTTGACGTCAATGATCACTTCCCTGTAGAATGGTGAGATCCTGGTAGTGAATCTGCAATACAGCTCACGGAGGATCCCAATGTATTGAGTTTGAATGCCCTGATTGGCTAGGGCTTCAATGACCACTTCCGTCTCAATAGAATCAAAGGCCTTCTTTAAATCAATGAACATTAGACAGAGCGGCATCTTGAACTCCCGAGAAACCTCGATGAGCTTGGTTATCGTGTGGATATGGTCGGTGGTGCTGAATCCTTTTCAGAACCCAGCTTGCTCGCATGGTTGTCCTTCATCTAGTGTTTTGCTAATCCTATTCAGGATGACTCGAGTGAAAACTTGTAGATGACAGACAATAGGCAGATTGGGCGATAGTTGCCAATGTCGTGGATGTCTCCCTTCTTGTACAGTAGTACGGTCCTGCTGGTTTTCCATTGGGACAGAACCTTGCATTTAGACAGGTAGTGTGTGAAGAGCCGAGCCAGCCTATTGATGAGTATTGACGGCAGGTTCTTCACGTGTTCAGTTCTGACCTTGTCTGGGCCGGGTGCTGTTCATTTCTTTACTGACGAAATGGCGTGTCGGATTTCGGAAGGGAGAACATTGGGAACGACATACCCATCCTGTGGAATTTGGTATGTCGGCAGGTGGACATGGCTATCGAAGAGATCTGAGTAGAAATCATGGATAATCTTCTCCATTGCCCTTCTGGAAGATGTGATAGATCCATCAGGATGTCGGAGGGCAGTCATCTTGGTCTTGTAGTTGGCCAAGGACAGGCAGGTGTTACGAATACTTTTCCCGGCTTCTGTCACATCTACCAGCACTTCTGCTCTTCTCTCTTTGAGGTCTTCCTTGATCGCATCTCTGCACTGCTTTGCGAGCTCGGACGTTCGCTTGTGGTTGCCTGAGGCATGCTCCAAACCACGCTGGCGAATTAGCTCAAGAGTTTTCAAAGACAGGCGTTTTTTTGTGGCTATCTCTCTCTTGGCGTTCCTCGCACATTCATGGAGGTGCTGAACCAGTTGATCGTATTCCTTGTCAATGTTGTCAACAGTGGCATCTTCCCATGTTGCTGCAATAGTGCCAAAGAGTTCCCAGTTGGTGGTCGTTCTGGGAGTTCTCTTTTTGAACTTTGCAGTCCTTTCTTCCTGCTCTATGAAGTAGAATTTTGCACGAAGGAGACGGTGGTCCGATCCCGTTTGGAATTTTGGGACAACAGTGACATCGGTCAGGCAAAACCATCAATTGAATATGATGTGGTCTATTTCGTTGTGGTATCGTCCACCAGGAGACTCCCATGTCCAACGTTTAGATTTGGCTTTCTGGAATTTTGAGTTACCATGGATGGTCTTGGTCGACATGATGAACTCAGACAGTCTCTCCCCCTGTTCGTTCCATTCTAGGCCATGGGTCCCGATGTGAAGTTCTTTGGCTGATCTTCTCGGTCTTATCTTGGCATTAAAATCACCCAAAATGATCTTGTAGAAGGTGTGGTCTTTATAGAACTTCTCCAGCTCCATATAGAACTTCTCAATTTCTCTTTCATCATAATTGGATGTTGGTGTGTAGACAACGAAGATAGAAACTGCTGGCAGTGAGCCACATCTATTCAAATGTAAACGTCCAATTCGGGTTGTTAGGCATTCGAATGAATCAGTGCTCATGGCCAAGTTCATGTTGACAAGACACTTCCGACACCTCTTTTGTCACTTGTTCCGAGGAACAATTCTTCTCCAGTGTCGAAAACGGCGTGATGAGATTGGTGCCTTCTTGTCTCGGTCAGACCAATGATGTCGTACTTGATCTTTCGCGCTTGTACCATCAGGTCCTCGATGGATGCATCTGATGCTAGCGTACGTGCACTGAAAGTACAGACCATCACTTTTGTCTTCCTTCGTTGTGGCAGCCTAGTTCGGCCTGGAGATTTTATCGGCCTCTCCTTCCTCATCCTTCTCAGTGCTGCCATGTTGGTGACGCCTTCAGGGTCAGGGGAACGAGACCCATTGTAATTACTGGTTTTGGCATATCGAATACACAACGGAGAGCTTGCGGGGCTCTGCCGTGCGGGCGGAATACTCTCGGTATTTTTAAGACCACCAGCCACATAGGCAGCCCGCATTCGCCCTCCCCCACCCCGCTACAGCCCCTCCTCGGTCTCCCCTGCACTCCTGTCTCCTGACAGCTGCCGTCACCCATGGTGCCTGCAGGGGGTGTGTGCTCCACCCCACCAAGTCCTGCTGACCCGCTAGTCCAGGCTTCCTGTACCCAGCAGTGGGTGCACCAGAGGTGGGCCCCCAGGCCTGGGCTGCTCCGCTGTTCCTCACCAGGTGTAGGGGGGGCGGGGGGGCTGCAGTGCCGATGGAGAAACTTCGCTTCCCTGCTCCCCTGGCCCCGTTGAAGGGTAGGGCCTGGCCAGCGGCTCAGCCTGGGGAGAGGTTCCTGGGTCTGTCCCTGAGGGCTCAAGCACTGGGGTGGGGGGCACATGCCTTGCACACAATCAACCCTGGCTGCATGTGATTCAAAACCATAAAAGAAGTAAAAATTTCAATTAAGGGGGGAAATATCTTCCCAAAAATTCTTTAAAAAGTTTTAGAAAACTTAAGAATTTGCTGGTAGCAAGGCGTGTATGAGTGTTGGTGTGTGAACGTGTGTGTGAATGGGTGTGGAATGAGTGCGTGGGGAGAATGGCATGGGAATGTGGGAGTAGGTGTGAGCACGAATGAGCGTCCATGCATGCATGTGCGTGACCATGTGTGTGTGCATGTGTGTGTGCTTGTGTGAGCATGTGTGTGGGGTGAATGTGCACACACAGGTGCTGGCCACCCTCCATCCCTCCATGTCTGAGGCAGTGCCCCCCAGATGCCCCCCTCTGGTGGCTAGTTGGGCCTGAGCTGGGGGGGGGGGTGTGAAGCTGGAGCCCCCAGACCCTGTCAGGGCATGCACCAGTATGGGTTCGCTGCCTCAGACCCAGGATCTGTGCGTCCCAGGAAGTACAGAAAGAGCTTCAGGAGGCAAATGCAGGTCATCTTCGTTTAATCTTTGTTAGGAGCATCTCGAACTATTTATTGGTCTTTAAAAAGGAAAACTAAGAAGGTTGGCATCTTTGGGTGCCAGCTCCAGCTGGACTCCTGGGGAAGGTGACAGTGGACCCCACCCCGAGGCGTCACCCCTGGGGTCGCTGCAGTCAGCCCAGCACCTGCCCCACGCCCTCTGTGTCTCTCTCAACACGCAGAGAGAAAAGTGAACAGGAGTGAGCTGCTGCTCTGAGGGGTTGGGGGACCCGTGGGTACTGGGCACAGGGCGGGTGCCAGGCGTGTCTGGAGGGAGCTGGCGGGTCTGACCCTGACCCTGTGAGGGGCAGGCCAGGAGGTGGAGGGTGGAGCCCAGGTGGAACCCTGGAGTGGGCAGGTGGTGGGATCAGATAGGTTCCCACAGCGTCCCCTGCCCCTTCCTGTACATCTTCGAGGTCCTGTTTGCAGCGGGTGGTGGCCCTGGGCAATGCCCCCCTGCTGGCCGGTATCGTACTGAGGCCCTGGGGATCCCCGAAGTGGTAGGGAAAGCCCCTTCCCCAGCCCCGCCCCAGCTGTTTTCCGAGTTCCTGTTTCAAGGCAAAAGGTGAAAATCTCCCGCTTCAGGTTCACGGGTGCAGACGTTGGGGTGGGGGCAACCCTGCTCCAGACGGTGCCAGCAGAACCGCACGCCGGGTGGACGCACCTCTGGCCACCTTCTGCGCGCCCGAGCCCCCACCCCCGCTCGAACCTACAACCTCGGGCGCAGGCCGCCCTGCTCGGGGCCTGCAGACGCGACGCCACCCCTGGAAAAGGAACCCTGACGGTCTCCATCAGCTGCGGCCCCCTGGCGGGAAGTTGAGGCATTGCCGGCAGCAGACTCCGAGCTGCAGTTTCGGGGGACACAGCGCTAGGGCTGGGAGGGGGGCTCGGGCGGTTCTGGGGGCTGGGGCTGCAATGCAGGGGGCTCTGTGGGTCTGGTCAGGTGGCCAGGCAGGCTCGCCCGGGAGCCGCGGGAACCGCCATGAGGGGTCAGGGCCCGGGTCTGGGGCGACCTGGGGTGGAGACAGCAAGACCCGCAGATGGGTGAGGCCTGATGTCCAGGGAAGGGCCGTGGAGCCCGGGGCAGGGGCTGCAGCTGAACCGGGGAGCCCTAGGAGGCCTGGTGTGGGGACCGCTGGAGAAGGAGGCGTCCTGGCGGTGGCCACGGCCGGGAAGCGAGGAGGGCGGGCATCAGCTCACCAGGTAACTGTGCATCTCCCGGGAGTTAATGCTCAGCACCACGCCCGAGTGGTTCCCTAGGAGACAGAGACGCTGCGTCAGCGGTTCCCTGGGAGACGGAGAAGCTGCGTCAGCGGTTCCCTAGGAGACGGGGATGCTGCGTCAGCACACTCCGTTGGGGAGCTGGGGGCTGGGCATCCTGAAGGCTGGGGCGAGAGAAGGGCTCTGCACCTTGGCTCCAGAAGGGGATAGACACGCCCTGGAGCAGGCAGGACCCTTCCTGCCCCAGGGCCATACTGGGCGAGGCCAGAGAAAGTGACATGCTACTGCCAGTCCCCCGTGGCCCCGGGAGCGGAAGCGGCACAATCATGCCATTGTCTGACGTCTGACCCAGGCAGTCTGTGCTGGTGGGCCAAACCTTCAGGGTCCCACTGGACGGGCCGACCTGGTGACCCACTGTTATCACTGAGTGACCCCTGGGCAGGGGAACGGTGCTGCTGCTGGAGGCTCCCTGGGCGCCCTGACGTGGTGGCCTCCTGGGATGCAAGGGTCCCGCTCTGCCCCGAAGCAGGGTTGGGGGTGCATTGCCAATTCTCCACCACCCGACCTAGGCCTCCCCTGACTCTGGCCATGCTGGGAATCACATGGGAGTCCCCTCCCCCCCAGGTCCCAGGAAGTCGAGGGTGTTCCCGGGACCCCCACACAGGTCCGCCCAGGCATGTGCAGGGCAGATTTTCGCGGAAGGCAGGGCCTGAGAGAGCTGGAGCTGGAGGGGCCGGGCCCGCACCCCAGGGAGCGCGAGGAGACCCAGGAGGGGCAGGACGGCCGGGGAGGGGCCCCTCCCTGAGCCCCTGGAGAGACATCAGGCCGCTGAGGCAGCCCACCCCTGGTTCCTTCCCACTGACGCCCCCCACCCACACACCGACGCTGCGGAATCTCCTGCTGGGTCCAGGGGCTAGTCCCTGCGGGCCAGTGGGGCGGCACAGGCAGTGCGAGAAGGGGTCCCACACCTCAGAGCCAGTCGGCTCCTCTTCTCTCCTGGCCCTGCGTGGGTCCCCACAGCAGGGCCTCAGGGCCACTCCCGCTGGTGGCTGCGGCCTCGGCATTACCTAGCGTGTGTGAGTCCAGATCGTCATCCCTGAACTCCTCGCCCCGGCTGCCACTCTGTGCCCCCTGCGGTGGCCCCAGGGGGCTTGTCATCTCCTGCTCCTTCTCGTTGTGCATCTGGGCATACACGGTCCTGCTGGGGCGTTTCCTGCAGGCAGAGGGGAGCTCAGGGCGCTGCCTAGGCGGTCTGCCCCCAGCCCCTTGCACAGTACCCACGTGGCTCCTGGCACCTCCTTCAGGAAGCCCCCCTGCCCCCACCCGCCTCCTGTGGGCTCCAGCAGCTGGAGTGCCCTAATTCTCCAGGAGTTTGGACTGGAGCAGGGCTGGGGCTCTGCTCAGAGGCAAGCTTTAATGCAGTCTGGCGGGGTCACAGCACCCTGAACCCTCCTCTGTGTGGAAGGTTCGATGGCACCCCTGGACCCTGGGAGCTGGAGGGCCAGGGCCCTGAGCTCCTCTGGAGATGAGGGCAACCCCTGTTCCAGGAAACCCCCAGCACAGAGACGCGTCTGCACAGCCTGGAAGGGTTCGCAGTCGAGATGGGAGCACGCGCTTCTGAGTCCTTTACTATATTTGTCCTTGCGACAGCAAGACAGAGTCCGAGATGGCGGCCACAAACACTTCCCACACGTCCATCCTGACCTCGACGATTCCATCCGTGTTGGCTGAGACCTTGGACAGACTCAGCGCCCATCCCCACGAGAGGAGCAGTGAGGGCTCGTCTGCCTCGGAACGGACCCTTTGCTTCATGCCAGCGCCAGAGCGATTGCAGCGCTGGGAATATCGGGGGTGGAGGGTCCGGGCAGGGCAGCCTCTACGTCGCAGCGTGGTCCTGGGTGGCCCCTGCTGGGTCAGGCCACACTCCTGCTGGGACTCTTGGCTCAGAGTGGGCCCCGAGGCAGCCGCCGTGGCTGAAGGTCTTGCGGTATGGGCAGGCTGGCCCTGGGCTTGGTGGGGGGGGCTCGGCAGAGCAGAGGCAAGGGGTGCTAAAACCAGACCCTTTTCATGCACAGGTGGTCCCGGACCCACCCCAAGCCCAGTCTGGACTCTGTCCTCCCGCCCACCCCAGCCTGGAGAGAGACAGGTGTTCTGGGCACCCGCACAGCCCCAGGCCCAGCATCCAGCTCACTCCCGCACCCTCAGAGGCCGGAGCGGGCCCCGAAGGGCTCATGCACTTAGTGCCAGACGCCCCCCTTGCCTGCCCCGGGTGTTATTAAGCACAGTGCAAACACGCCGGGCCACCGGCACCCCAGCCTGGACTCGCCCTGTGCTCCGTCCAGTGCTCTTTGCCGTGGCCTCCCGGCACCCACGGGCCCAAGGCCCCCCACACTGGCCTCTCCGCTTCACAGTCCCACCACATTTCGTTTCTCAGAGGCGGTGCAGGGCCAGCTGCACAGCTGCTGCCCGCACAGCTCCCCCGTCGGCTTCCTTGCTCTCTGGAGGGACCCAGCAGGGGCACAGCCGGACAGGCGGGCACAGCCACAGCCCAGCAGTGCCTACGCCCCTGCCCCCACGCCTGTCGTCCCGGCCTAGGTGGTCCTGCTCGCGGCCGTGGGGTCCAGGTGGGCTTCATTCCGCTCCTGAGGGCCAGAGATGCGGCGCTGCCCTGGAGAATCCCTGGTCGGAGCGTCCGTTGGCACAGGCGCGTGTCTGCTGGGTGAGAGGTCATCGTCGCGCTCCTGGGGGGTGTGGGTCTCCTCTCCCAGGGCCGAACTGTGCCGTGGGCTCGGCCGTCTCTGGCCTGAGGTGGGTCCCGTGCGGGGAGGCTGCCCTGGGCCTGGCCATGTCCCTTCGCGCCCTCACCTGGCCTGGCCGCGAGCTCAGCTCTGTGGCAGTGTCTGAGCTCAGGTGACAGAGGTCTCCGTTGCCCTGTGCTCCTCTGCGTTTCTGTGAAGCTGAGTCCGTCTGTCTGTCCCCGCACCAGTTCCTCAGAGATGCACCGTGACGACCCAGTCCCGAGGAGCCATCCCCCCTCCCAGGAGCTCCCTCCCCCGGGCTGGGCGCAGGGGTCCTGTGCTCCTCCCTGCAGGACAGTCCAGCAGTGTGAGAAAGCCCTGGACATGTCCAAGGGCCCATCTCCCAGTGGCCGTGCTCCGGGGCCCAGCTAGGGTCGCGTGGCCGGGCCTGTCCTTTCTCCAGCCACTCTGCAGGGGACTTCAGCACTGTGGACAGCGAGGGGCCAGGAGGCAGGCATGTCCCTGCAGGGTCTCAGCTGCCCAATCTGGGGAGCCCTGCTGACTGTGGCCGGAGCGGAGGGGGCCTGGTTTCTTGTGGGCGGAGCTTGATGACCATGGGCGGGGTCTGGTGGCCATGGGCGGGGCCTAGCTACTGTGGGCAGGCCTCTCTCATGTCAGAGCCCCCTGCAGCCAGCGGGGAGGAGTGTGGGGAGCCTGGCCCGCCCCTCCCCCGCTCCCACAGGTAAAGAACCCCCACCAGGTGAGACAGAGGCCCAGGGACCCTCAGTTCCCCAGAGCTGCAGCCCCGTACTCTGTCCTCAGGGAGCAAGGTCCAGGCAGGCCTCAGTCCCTGAAATCCTGAGTTGTGTTCAGGGAGTACTGGGTCAAGCCTCTGGCTGAGCCCTGGTGCCCGCAGTGGACTGCCCACCACCCAGCAGGGCCTGGAGGGTGAGGCGGTGACTGTGGGCCACGGCCCCGACAGAGTGAGCTTCTGCCAGGATGGGAGCAGCATGACACCACAAATGCCTCTTCCTCCTTCTGATCCCTACTCAGATGCCACCTTCTTCAGGAAGTCCTCAGGTTCTGCACACAGATTCTCAGGTTGTGGTGAGCCTGCAGGCCATCTCTGCCGCAGGGGCAGAATCACGGGGCAGGTGCCTGGTTGGGGGACCAGCTCCCCTCCAGGAAGCAGTGCCAGAGGGCATGAGCCTCCTCTGTGTTCCACAGACCGGGCTGACTGGAGGTGGGGGCCGACTCAAACACCCCCAGCCAGCCATGGAGGAGAGGACTGGGGTGAAAGCAAAGGCCGCGGCACCTCTGGACTGGCTGACCCTGAGTGGGGAGCCGCGAGGCAGCACTTGGGGCAAATCCGCTGCTGCTTCTGTCAGGCCCTGCCGCCCCCCGAGTGCGGCCACACACTGAGCACTGGGGCACCGGCACCCATCAGCGGCTTCCCTGGGTGGGGGCGAGGCAGGGGAGGGGGCCGCGCCTGCGGGCCTAGATGGGTGCCCGTCCCCACCCCGGCAGCACCCAGCGAGGGGACGGCAGGTGGCCTTGCCTTTTGAACTTGAAGAGGATGAAGGCGCCCACGGCAAACAGCCCCATGGCCAAGAGCACGGCCACCGCCCAGTAGCCTCCGCCGCCCGGCCGCTGCACATCTGCAAGGAGGGCCGAGGTCAGCGGGACGGGAGCCCGCCCGGCCCCTAGCACCCCGCCCCGCGGGTCAGGGCATGCCCTCCCAGCACGTCCAGGGCCCCTGGCCACGCCCACCCCTGCGGGAACAAGCCACGTCCACCCCCACGGGGACAACCAGATGGAAACGCTTCCGCTTCTGCGGGGTTCCTGTGGCCAGTGAGTCCATGGTGGGGGCACTGGGCGCTGTGTCAGGAGCCGCCGCTGCCCGCTTACTTTTTTCTTCGTGATTGGGGGCTGTGCCTCGGGTCTCCCCTGGCTGTTGCGCGATGGGCCGGGACACATGGGGCCATGTGGGGCTAGGGGTCCTCGGGGGCCGCTGGCCTGAGCGGGGCGGGGGCCGCCCTCCCCGGGGCCCAAGGGCTCACCTGTGCCGGCTGCCCGCTCGCCCACCAGCACGCGCACGCCACCCCGCAGCAGGAAGCTGATCTTCTGCGCCCGCAGAGCCTCCCGCACGGCCGCCAGCCGCTGCAAGCAGAGCGGGGTGAGGCGGGCCGGACCCCTGGGGCCACTCTGCAGCCAGACTCGCGGGAAACCCAGAGGGGACGCCCAGGTCCTCCAGCAGGCCGCCTCCAGGGCCACTTGGGCCCAAGGAGTGGGACCCCCGGGGTCCTGGGACCGGCAGCTGAGCTGTCTGGGGGCAGTGGGGGGGCTTCACCCGCAACTCCTCTGTGCGAGCCTCATCACCATGTGCTACAGCCCCCACTACCTGGTTCCAGAACATTCTTGGCCCTAGGCTCTGCCCCGCAGTCGCTGGGCCTGGAGGTAGGTCAGGCCCCCACATGGCTGCCTCCCCAACCCTCCCCGTGGGGGGCAGTGTGTCCCCCTCAGGGATGGCCAGAGAGAGCACTGCCAGGGGCTGGTCTGTGGCTCTCTGGGACCCCCAGGTCTCAGGTCTGCCCCGTGAGGACGAGGGGCTCACAGTGGGGGTGTCCCCCACCTGCTGGAACCCCAGGCCCCAGTATCCCTGGGCCCGGCCAAGCCGGCTGCCACATGGTGGGGGGACAGATGGCGCCCTCCCCAAGCCCCTGACAGTGGCGGGGAAGGGGGGCTGCTGAGGTGGGCCCCACGGGCTGAGGGGTGGTAGGAGGCCACAGGGTCACACCTTGTCACTACTGACGCTCCGCTTCCGCGTGGGCCGAGGAGGAGGCAGCAGCACGTGCAGGTCAGCCAGAGTGGGCAGCCCCGGCTTCACCACGGTCACCAGCAGCTCCTCAGGGACGCCAGCCTCCTGCAGGGAGAGGGGGCACCCGACAGGCTCTGGGCTATCCTCTCCCCTCTGGCTGCCAGGGGCCTGGTCACCAATCCTGCCTGGGTTACCGCTCCACCCTGCACTCAGGCCCAGACCAGGCACCAGGCTTCTCGACCACAGAGCTCTGCCGGGGCCTCTACTGCCGCTGGCTGGCAAACCCCTATGCATCCCTCAACGCCCAGGGCAACAACCCCCCCCCCCCCCTACATACACACATACAATGCCTTGGGCAGGGCTTGGGAAGACTCGGGAGTGGTTCTGCTCCCCTCACTGCTCTGCTGGTCTGCTGCGGGACCTTCCTGCCAGCCCAGACGGTGGCAGGGTGGGCCTGGGGGACGCAGGCCAGGCTGGGCTGCCCCGTCCTGGCAGTTGCAGGGGAGGAGGCCCTCAGCTTCAGGGGACTCAAAGCACCTTGGACAGGAGCCGGGAGACCACCAGGCCGACGTCCTCTCTCCACTCTGGGGTGTTGGGATTGTGTGCGTCCAGGACCTGGGAAAACTGCAGGGGCACCACCGGGAACTCATCTGCAAAAGGAGGGAGCGCTGGCCTGGGGCTGGGGCAGCCCCCTGCGGCTCAGCTGGTTAGCCACGCCCCAGGGCAATTAGCCACGCCCCTCCACGTGCTGGTGTCTGCAAGCCCCGCCCAGGGAAGGATCGGCCACGCCCCCACGCCCCCTCTGCACAGGCCTGGGGGTGGGAACCGAGACTGGAAGCGAGAACCTTGGGGGCCGCCCTTCCGAGTGGTCCCCAGCCCCAGCCTGCCCCTTCCTCCTGTCTCATGCTCCTGGGCTCTGGGGCCTGCGAGGCTGGCAGGGACGCACGTTGGGAGCTGGGCGGCACTGTGGGGACAGGCCAGGCTCTGGCCTTGAGGCGGGACTGCGGGCAGGGGGCTAGCCGGGGCCAGCCTGCTGCGGATGCTGACCTGGGCACGTGGGACTCACCGAGCACTCGGACCACCCTGGAGTCCTGCAGCACGGAGCTCCCGCAGGCCGCCTGCACTGTCACGCGCACCTCCCCGGGCTCCGTGAACCGCGTGCTCACCGCGTTGTCCAGGGACAACAGGGGCTGCGGGCAAGGCGGGCTGGTCACGGCCTCCGGGCGCCTTCAAAGTGCCCCCCACCCGCTCAGCACTGCCCCTGGGTGGGGAACAGTCTCCTCAGGACCGGCTGGTGGGGAGGGGTCCTCTGGGAGGCGTGGGGGAGTTCCTTCTCGCTCCCCTTCCTCCTCTGTCCCAGTCAGCACCCGCCGCGCAGGTGCCCGGACTCAGCGCTGTGCTGCCCCAAGCCCAGCCCAGCCCCGGGATGAGCCCGCGTGGGCCCACGGACCTGCAGGCTCTGGCCGATCCACCAGTAAAAGACCGTGAGGTTGGGGTTCAAGGGCAGCAGCACAGCCGTGAGGGTCACCTCCTGGTTGACGCCAACCACAGGCACCACTTCGAGGTAGAGGGCCTGCAGGGGAGCTGCGGAGTCAGAGAGCTGGGTCAGGGGGCATCGGGACACGGGGCACTCCCAGGCTGCCTACTAGGCAGTGCTGCATCAGCTAGTTACTGCCACCACTACCTCCATTGTCAACACACACCAGCATGTCACCATCACTACCGTCTCACTAGCACCACGTCAAAGCCACCAGCACCACCAGCACCACCGCCACCCTACCACCATCGCCATCACCATCAGTACCTCACTGCCGCCATTGCCCCATCACATCACGACTATCACCACCACCGCCGCCATTACCGTCACAATGATCACCGCCATCACCACTGTTACCATAACCGCCATCATTACACATCACCATCACTAATATCACCACGTCACTGCCATCGGCAGCACCATCACCACTGTCATGATCATGCGACACACCAGCGCCATCGTCACTCCCATTACCGTCGCCATCGTTGCTACATCAGCACTGCAGCTACCACCACCATACCCTTAGGACGATCCCCACTGCTGTCACCGCTGTCATCACCACCACTGTCACGAAGACCATCAACACCATGCTTTGTCATCACCTTCCACTGCCCCCATTGCCAACAACAGTCCAGTCACCACCTACCACCACCACTGCCCCCAACCCCCACGCACTGCCACCATGGTCGCCACTCAGCCCGCCCTGGCCCCTGTACACCCGGGTGTGGACTGGAGCCCACCACCAGCCCGAGGGCCCGTTCCCAGCCCAGGTTCTCGGTGGCAGTGACCAGCCGCACAGGGGCACTCACAATTGACCTGGACGAAGAGCACCGCCTCGTCGTGCCCGGCTGCGTTCTCCGCCCGGACACACACGCGGTACACACCGGGGTGCTCGTAGCGGTGGCGGAGGGGGTCCTCGCTCAGCGTGAGGTTCACGTACATGGCCTTGAAGCCGTCCCCAAGGTCCACCTGGTACTTGGTGTTCAGAACGTCGCCCTACAGAGAGCAGCAGGGGTCACTTGGGGTGAACTTGGGGTGACTGCAAAGCGGAAGGCTGGGGGGTCCTTTGTCTCCTCCCCGTCCATTCATTCCCTCCGCAGTGGTGAGCGGGACCCCCGGGGCCAGCCCTCTCTGTCCCGTGGGGGGCACCCGGGCAGTGATGCGGGCTGCCCTGGGGTCACTGGGCTTTGGCCATGAGACCCACAAAGCCTGGCTCCTCAGGCCACGCTGTCCCCTGCCCGCGTGGCATGTGTGGGGTCCCTTTGAGCGTGTGTGAGGGGCCTTGTCACCCTGTCTATAGTTACGGCTCAGTGTCTGAACGCCTCCCCCTGGGGTGTGTCAGCATGGGAGGACGCCATCACCGGGAGGGGGTCGCTGTGTGCTATTCTGAATCTGTCTCTGTGGGAGTGTGTCCCTGTGAGGGTTGTCACTATGTCAGTAGGGGAGTGTCACTGTCAGAGTGTGGCATTGTGTGAATGTGTTACTGTGGCGTGTCACCGTGTCACTGTGGTGCGTCACTGTGTGGGAGTATCACCATGCCATTGTGGGAGTCTGTCACTGTCACTGTGAAAGATGTCACCGTGTCACTGTGGAAGGTGTCACTGTCACTGTGTGTCAGTGTCACTCTGTATCACCATATCACTGTGTCTGTGTCACCTGTCACTGTGAAGGTGTCACTGTGTCAGTGTTTGCATCACACGTGTCACCCTGGCACAGATAGGTAAGGGCATGGCCCCAGCTCCAGAATCCACAGGGCCCGGAGGTGCAGGCGTGGGCACTAGAGGGCAGCAGAGACCACTCCCCCATACAGTCCCGGGCAGGGGCCCTCTTGCCTGCCTCCCTGCCTCCCACACACAGCCCCCTCCCCAGGTCATGATGAGGCTCAGAGTCATAACACGGGGACAGGCCAGACTCCAAGTGTGCCCCAAGCCCGCTCAGATGGGCACTGACCATGCAGCCCCAGGCCGGCATCAAAGGCCACGGCCACCTCAGTTCCCTCAACGTGGAGCAAGGCAACAGACCCAGGGACACAGGGAGAAGCACAGCGTGCGGCCGGTCACACAGACACACACAGACACATGCACAGGCACTCACAGACACACAGACACATTCAGACACAGACTCACACACACACACACTCACAGACTCGCACACTCACAGACACACAGACGCACACACTTACAGACAGACACACAGACAGACAGACACACACTCAGACACACAGACTCACAGAGACACAACATACACACTCATAGACTAACACACTCACGAACACAGAGACACACAGCTTCATGCAGACACAGATTCACAGACTCAGACACACAGACACATGGACTCATAGACACACAGACTCACACAGACACACAGATACCCACAGATTCACACACACACACACACACACACAAACTCAGACTCATGCAGACTCACACAGACACACACACATGCTCGTGGAGTCATTCAGACACGCAGACACGCAGACTCATGGGGGTACCCTCTGTGGGCTCCCGTCTCTGATCTGGGGTCCAGGCCCCTACCTGCTCCTGCCGCACCTCGAACAGCACGTCCTCGCCTGGCCGCACGGCCACCGCCTTGCCGCGGATGCTGACCCGCAGCCCCCGGGGCGCCGTGAGTGGGCACTGCAGCTGCGCCGGGCCCCGCTGCAGGTCCACGCCACCCTCACACACGCTTGACACCACCTTGCGGTACCTGTGGCCGGAGTGTGGGCGGCTCACACGGGCACCCATGGCCCCCGCCCCCACCCGCCACCCTCCCTGCAGAGCACAGGCAGCTCCCCGGGGCACCCATGACCCCTCACAGCTCACTCTGGCACCCATGGGCCCCGGCCACCTCCTGTCTCCTCTTCTTTCCTCCCAGCCCTTTGACAGACGGGGAGGGAGCAGGCGGGCAGCGCCTGCAGAGTGGACGTCAGGGCTGACACTGCTGGCTGCGGGGGTCAGTCAGGGCCTGGCGGGACGGGGTCCTATGGGGAGTGCCCCTGAGGGCTGCTTTGCCACTGCTGCCCCCCACGGTGGGGAGCCCCACCCTGGGGCTATCAACCGAGAGTGGGGGGAGCGGGTGCTGGACAGGCAGCCACCTGGAGCAGATGCTGGTGTGGGTGCAGGTGGAGACTGGGGGTTGGACACAGCTGCAGGTGAGGGTGCGTGTGTGGGTGAGGGCAGAGGTGAGGGTGCAGATGACCGTACAGGTGGGCTCCACCCCCAATTTTGTCAGATCATGACTGACTCCTGCTGGAAGGGGGTGCGTCCGTCGGCGCCTGGCGCCAAGTGAGCTGAGAGCAGAGAACAGGACAGACTGGGGCCAGCAATGGGACAGCGTGAGCCAGGACGGAGCGGGGGTGGGGGGGGGGTCAGTGAACAGATGCAGGGATGGGTGGGTGGGCGGGTGGACAGGCTCTCGGGGGATGGATGGACAGTGCATGGTGATGATGGAAGTCTGAACACTAATGGATAGGGTGGGTGGTGAACAGAGGAACAGGTGGGTCACAGGATGGGAGGTCAGTGATGGATGGTGGGTGGGAGGTAATGGGACATACACACACGTGTATAAACACATATGCATTCCCGAGGCCCTGGTCTGTAAGTTCTGATCCTGCCCTGGGCTACCTAGTAAGCATTCTCTCTGCTCTTCAAACTCCCTAAGGGGAAGCAGCACAGTGTGGTGCCCATGGGCCATGCACACTGCAGACACCTACATCTATCTATGATGCTGAGCCGCGGGGGACAACAGGGTCCCCTGGGGGGATGAGTTAATCTCTCACAGATGCAGACACACACAGCCAGGAACTTCCCTTGCAGCCCCTGTCCAGCAGGAGGACACCACCAAGCTGCACAGTGACGAGCAGATGTGCCCCAGCAGAGGTAAGCTGCGGCCCAGGTGGGGGAGTCAGGGCAGTCTTCCTGGAGGAAGTACCTTCAAGCCCAGATATAAAGGAGTGTGGTCCCGGACGGGAGTCTGCCCCTTCCCTGCTGCATTCTGTAGGGGCAGCAGCTCTGCGGGGCTCCAGGGGATGTCTCTGCTCTGGGAGTCTGCTGGGCAGGTACTGTGGACGCTCCAAGCGGGTCCCTACCCACGAGCTCAGCGACCGGTGACCCCAGGGGCCCCGTGAACAGAAGCCCTTGCCAGATGCCCTGACGGCTGGGGCCGGGGGTCTGTGGGGCCCAGGCGTCTGGAGGGACTCACCCGGCACTGCTGGGGTAAGTCCGGCCCAGCGCACAGTCTTCGGGTGGGCTCAATGGGTCGAACCAGAAGTTGGCGGTGCACTCGTGAGCACCCGACTCCGAGGCAGGGGCGCGTTCAAAGCCGTAGTCACTGCGGGGGGCAGGCAGGGCTGGGTCTGGGCGGGCTCTCCTGCATGCACATCTGGGGCAGAGGGGCCCCACGTGGCTGTGTCCCGGAGGGGAGGAGGCCCCAAAGCCAGGAAGAATGGCTGTAAGGGTATTTCTAGAAATGCCCAGGCAAGCAGTAGGCCCCACCTGGGTGTGCTGGAGGGCTGCCTGGAGCAGGTGTGTGTGTGAGGAGCGTCTCACCAGAGGAAGTCAGAGTCGCGGCACTGGCACACACGGGCGCTGAGCGCTGACGAGAAGCTCCGGCCCTTGACGCACCAGGACGTGGCCTTCCTCTTCCGGAAGCTTCGCTGCTGGCCCATGATGCAGCGGTCGCCCTGCACGGACACGAGGATGCTGCTGTCTCACCAGCCGTGTGTCCACCGCGGAAGGGGTATGCAGGGTGGGGGGAGCACACGCTCGCTCAGCCCGGAGGACCCTGACCTGGTATTCCTCGGCTCAGTGCTGCAGGCGGGCGGGACTGAGTGAGGCCACACTCAGTGGCCTCCGCCCAGTGGAACAGGCTCCTCGGCTGCGTACCCCCAGCCCGGCCCCCACAACACCCCTACTCCAAAAGCCTGGTGTGAAATGCAGCAGGACCCTCTCTCCCCCCCTCCAGCGTCAACTAAGCATTTTGCTGTAGAAACCGTTTGGGGGCACCCTGGGCGGGCCTGCCTGTACCCCACCAGCTGCTATAGAAACAGAGGATGTGCACTGCCCCTTCCTACGGGCTAAGGACACAACTCTGCTCACCCTAGAGCAGAGACCCTCAGCCCCATGCAGCCCTATCCACCAACAGGGACCATTAAGTCCCACGGCGGGAACAGCTGTGAAGGGCCATCAGGGGAGACTTCCTGGAGGAGAGGGCTCAGGCCTCTTAGGAAGGGCTCAGTCAGTCAGAGGCCCGCCCCCAGCCTGAGCCCTGACCCACCTGGAGGTTGGTGAGGTCCCAGGGGTCATAGTCGGCCTCCCCGCATGGTCTGGAGAACACGGGCCGGAAATCCACCTTGACCAGCTCCCAGTCCGAGCGGAAGCTGATGTGGCCAAAGACGCTGGGGAGGGGAGAGGGGCTGCGGCGAAGCTGGGCTGCTCCCCCACCTCTTTCCCGGGGTCTACACTCCTCCAAGTGGGGGACCCTGCTGGACCCGTCCACGCCGTCGCGTGCCCTACGGCTTGTGAGTGGCTCCGCTGGGGGCTATCCCGAGCCCCCCAAGTCCCACGAGGTAGCAAGTGGGCCGAGAGCACCAGGACTCTGCACTCCCAAACTCCGCAGGGGCCCTCGCCTTGCTGCACCTGCCACTGGATGGGGCCACGGCAGGCGGGGACCGGGCTAGGCATGAGGGGGGAGCATGAGGAGGGCGGGGCAGCCATGGTTAGAGACCTCAGGGCTGGGGGGCACTCACGTCATCACCAGCGTCTCGTCCCCTGGCTCGCTCAGCAGCCCGTCCACAAACACCGAGGTGCTGGTAAAGTTGTGTGTGCTCCAGCTGAGGCCCTCGTCGGCGCTGAACCTGCCGAGGTCATGCAGCATCTCTACAGTGGGAGCGCGCCCAGCCCACGGCAGCTACCATCCCCCCGGCCGGCCCCTCCAGGCCCTGTGGCCAACCCCCCCCCCCCCAGGTTTTGTGTCTCTGAGTCCCATGGCAGCCATGGCAGCCCAAGGTGGTGTTCTGTGCCTTCAGACTGCAGTGACCCAGTTTCTGGACACACCCAGAGCAGTCCCAGAGCATTGGGCACCACTGGGGGCAGGCTGAGTTCCTCCCTTCCAGTGGCTTCTCCACGACCCCCACCCCCTGCCGCAGGCTGCTCAGTCCCAGATGACTCTGGCCCCGAGTCCCGGCTCTGCGGATCTGGGGCTCCATTTCCCCTCCCCTGCACTCCGCAGCTGCTCCCCAATTTCCCACCCCAGCCCAGAGCCCTCCCCCCACCCCCAAGCTCCAGAGGCTGCTGCCCTGGTGTGGTCTGGTGTGGGCTACCACCCTGCTGCCCTTAATCTTCTAGTCTCCCTGGCCAGCCCAGAATGGACATGGGGAGGGTCACCCAGCCTGCAGGGACCCCTGGGGTGGGGCTTGGGGCCACTGTGCTGAGGCCCCACGAGGAGGCCGACCTGGGGACATTGCGAGGGCTCCAGGTGGAGAGAAAGCCCCCCCACGTTACTTGAGGATCTTCAAGGGTATGGAGGTGTCCTTGATGGCCACGATGACCCCGCCGTGGTCTAGGTAGAGGATGTGGTGCTCCTCCTCAAACACCTGCAGGGCAGAACGCAGTGGGGGGGAGAGAGTGAGGCAGGGCCAGCGCTGCGGGTGGGCGGGGCCGAGAGCAAGGCGGGGCCAGTATTGCGAGTGGGTGGGGACAATGCCGTGGGCGGGCGGGGCGGAGGGCAAGGCGGGACCAGCGCTGCGGGTGGGCGGGGCCGCAAGTAGAGGTGGGGCGGGACGCTCAGCTTCCGCACGCAGACGGTGGGCACCCGGAGCAAGGTAGGTGCAGACGGCAGGGGTCCCCCAGCACCAGCGTGGGTGCACCACAGACACACCCGTGGCGCTCCTGCTTGTGTTTCCCAGGGCGCTGCTCTGGGCACTCAGGGTCCAGAGGGGTGGGGTGAAGCCTGGTGTCAGGGTGTGGTGGGTTAGATCGCACACAGGCCCCCGCTGCCCACCCATGCTGCATGCAGACACAGCATCTCAGGTCCCCTCAGTTTGGAAGCAGGAAGGGGTGATGGTCTGGCGCCCGGAGATGCCCAGGAGGCGGGCCACCCTTCACGCTCCTCCCTAGTCCTGCGGGGAGGCAGAGGTGGGCTCCTCCTGGGACAGCAAGCTCCCAAGATCCACAGGGACTGCTCGGAGCGAGCCCTCCCCAGATGCCTGGCCTGCAGTCTTGGGTCTCTCTCCACGAGGCTGCGGCTCCAGTGCCCCCTGTGGGCAGAGGCCTCTGTGCTCTGCCTCTAGGACCTTCGCTCCCGTGGTCTAGGTAGAGGATGTGGTCCCCATGGGGGACCCCAGGAGACTGGGCTGCTGAGGGCACGGAAGAAAGCAGGCGCACCTCCGGGCCCCCGCTGTGTACTGGCATAGCGCCGTGCGCGTGCATGCGTGTGCATGTTACAGTATTGTGCATGTCTGTGTGTACATGTGTGCCTGCATACAAAGCACTGTGTGATGCGTACCCGTGCTGTGTGTACAATGCTGTGTACACCTGTGCATAGTGGATATACGTGTGCATCTGTGCACATGGTATTAGACGCACGCACATGTGTGGACTGGATATTGAGCCTCGGTGAATTGCCCCTTTTCCTCCCCTGCCCCCAGAGAAGCTCACCGTGCGTTCTTGGGAGCACCCCTAATCCCCTGAGTTTATCTTTAACCTTTCCTTTGTGCTCTGCCTCTCGTTGTGACTTTCCCCAAGTTAGTCTTGGTTACTTGTAAGTTAGAACTGCTGTGATTCTGGACTTTGTATTTGAAGTGAATTACTTTCTTTTAGATTTTCCCTGTAACTTTTCATGTTTACCACAGAGCATGTTCTTTGCTTAGACACAGAAAGACTGTTAATGCTGTGCGTCTACTATTTAGGAGTTGACTGACTGGGCATCCATCATAATAATTTGACGCAGGTTTCATTTGCCATAGTTCCTAACACCCCATGAAGTGGGGGAGGTCCTACCGTGGGCCTTGGCTGGACCCTAGAATCAAAATGGGACAGTCCAGAAAGCTGTTATAACTTAAGCGACAGGACGCCCATGGGGAAGGACAAGCTGAATCGGCCTGAGAACCTAGTTTGGGATTTAGGGTAAAAGCCTTGCCTGTCCTCAGAGCCCAGAGAACTAAGTTTTGGAATCTATCTCTTACTGTGGTTATCCAAATAATTGTAGGTATTAATAAGTAGTAAACTTATTAATATGTACAACTAAAGGGAAAGAGAAAAACAGTACAGACGTCCCTGGGAGACGGTGTCTCCTGGCGCTAATCCCCCCAAGAAAACTGCCTCTGCTGAGACGCTTTACCTCAGCAAATATCAGTCACACTGTGTGCAGTCCTGGTGTGCTATAAGTAGACATTAAAAGGTCCATTTTGACCATCAGTCTGTGGTCCCCTGTCTCTCTGTTCCTTGCTGGGGAGGCCTGGGGAGGTGGTTCTCAGTCGCCCACTGTCCTGCCTGCTTCCCACTCGCCCTGTGCTCCCCCCATCTCCACTGCATCCCCTCCCCCACAGGGACCCTAAGGCCCAAAGCACCCTGGGGAGAGCACTTGCCTTGCATGCAGCCAACTGGGGTTCAATCCCCGGCATCCCATACAGTCCCCTGCGCACCACCAAGAATGATCCGTGAGCACAGAGCCGGGGGTAGCCCCTGAGCACTGCCAATGTGCCCCCCAAAATATACCAGTATCTCTTGTGCCCTGACACAGAGGAGGCTGCACTGGAGTCTCCTACCCATGACGCCACTTTTCCATTAGTGAGGGAACAGGACGCAGAAGGCTGGCTTGAGTCTCCCCATCGGGTTCAGGGAAGCAGCTACTTGGAAGGTCCAAGGTGCAGAGGCTGGTCTCGCACCCTGCTGGGGCCCTGGGCTTAGGGGGCTTCCTCTAATGTGCAGATGCGGCCATTCCTGTTTTGGCATGGCTGCCAGCACAGGCTGCAAATAGGAGCAACTGGGGGTCAATCGTGGCCAGCGGGCTAATGGGGGGCCAGAGCTGGTGCTCAGGAGTGTCCCACTCCAGCGGGAGACCACTGAGGGTGTGCACCCCCACACTTAGTCCTGATCACAGCACCTGGGGCAGGACTGTGGCCCAGTGAGACCCGGTAGGTGGCGGGATGGGGGTTGGAGGGGAGCTGGGCCCCACCAGACCCCTTACCTGGCGCCAGGTGTGCCCACAGTCTGACGTGATGTACATCTCCTCCTTGTACTCCACCAACTGCGAGCCCAGGTTTCCTGTTGGAGGGAATGGGGTGCTCCAGGGTCAGCCTGCTTCTCCCGAGGCCTGAGGTCGGAGGGAGCCCCAGAAACCCCCCAGAATCTGCAGCCGAGTACCCAGCTTCCCCTCCCACCTGTGTCCCCCCCCACCAAGGCTGGCTGATATGTCCACTCTGCTCCAACGTGCCAGGGCGTGGCCTGGATGGACAGTGTCTGGTACACGCAGGGCAGGCACTGCATGTACCAGACACTCGCTGGCTATGTATGTGGGGCGCTGGGGATGGGGCGGGGTCCTGCATCCCGGGGGCACCCCCAGAATAGGCCAGGCCATCTGCACATGGTCAGACTCCCTGAGGCCAGCAGAGGCCATGGATGGCTGCCAAGTGGACACTGGGCGGGGCCCAAGCCGCAGGGTGCAGGACCTCCCTCGGTCATGCTCAGGGGAGCCCCCAAGGTCACTCTCGGGGTGAGCCGGATCCCAGGGGCTGCCGGAGGGGGAGAGGCCGGGGCTGTGTGTCTGGGGAGTGGCCAGAGGCCCTGAAGATGCCAGTGGAAGGTAGGCCAGGGCCATGGCATCGTACTGCCCCCAGGATCCAGGAGTTTGAGGCCCAGGATGATGGGCTGGAGGACACCGAGGCCATTATGGACACACCCAGCCAGCCAGCACCCCAGGACACTCACAAACTGTCCTGGGCAGGTCAGCAGAAGCAGGCGGAAACCTGCAGAAACTGCAGCAGCCTTGGGTACACATGTCAGAGGGGACTGGTGTTGTTCACCCTTTGCACGAACCCACCCACTTACCTGTTACCCAGCCATCCGTCTGTCCGTCTGTCCATCTCTCCAGCCATCCACCCATCCACTGAACCACTCATCTGCCTACCCATCCGTCTGACCATCCATCCATCTGTCCGTCCATCCATCCCATCCATCCATCCATCCATGTCTCCATCTGTCCTCTACCTGTTTGTCCATCCATTCATCCGTCTATCCATCTGTCTGTCTGTCCATCTACCCACCTGTCCATCTGTCTGTCCATCCATACATTCATCCATCAACCTACCTGTCCATCTATACATCCATCTGCCCATCCATCCATTCATCTGTCCATCTGTTCATCCTTCCACCCATTCACGTGTCCATCCCCACCCCCACCCATCTATCCATCCATTCATCCATCCATCTGTCTATCTGCACCTAGCCACCTGTCCATCCGCCCGTCTGCCCATAGCCCAGACATCCTCAGTCCACCCATCTTTCTACTCACCTGGCTCACGCATGTGCCCTGCTGACCACACACTCACTCCCACCGGCCACCAGACCCAGTTCCCCAGAGTAGCGGGCACTACTGGCCCCCGTGGACATAGCGCAGCTTGGGTTCTGGCCATCAGGCCCAGTGTGTGGTGAGCGGAGCCTACCTGCGCCCATGATGAGGCCGGGAGCGGTGTCCTTGGTGTGGACGGTGCCCGACACATATGGGTTGTCGGCCCAGCGCAGGTGCAGGTGCAGGTGGCAGTCAGGCTGCGGACGGCAACGGGCTGCTGAGCGTGACGGGCCCTCAGAGGCCATGCGAGCAAGTCAGGCCTGTGGGTGTCTGGGAGGCTGGAGCCTCTCGCTGTGGCACTCCTGCCACCCACAGGGCTGGCTCCAACGCGGGGCGTGAGTCTGCGGAGGCCCCGGGGGCCTGGGTGAGCTCACCGAGGCAGAGGGCACGGACGTGAGCCACGTGGGGTGCTGTGTGGACCCTGGGCCCATCCTCACCACACCCTATCAGCCTCTGGCGGCCGGACTCCAGGAGCTGGGCACTCGCAGGACTCGGCAGGGCACTGGGATGCCTGACCCATGTCGGGGGCCCAGGGGGCAGCCCGCATGAACACTGCCGTGAGAGGGGCTTCTCTGAGGCTCTTGGGGGGAGCTCGGTGTGCCGGGGCCCTAGCTGGCCTCAATCCCTCACGCCTGGAAAGCAGGCCACTGCTGGGTGCTGAGAGCCCCACGGGGCCTGCCTCCCTTTTCCCATCTGGGGGTCCCGTGACCCCTGTGGGAGCCCCTTGACCCCAGTGCTGGGGTGTGACAGGCCCCGGTGGCCGCAGCAACGTCCTCCTGGCCATGTCTAGGCAGCCCCAGAGGGGGCCGTGTGAGGCTTCCTGGACAGAGGGGCTGCTCTTGGGGTACACGAGGGCAGAGATGGGGGCCCTGAGGCCACCCCGAAGCAGGCTGACGGAGGTACATGTGGTGCTTGTGGCAGGGGGAGTCGACCAAGGCCCGGCTCTGCCCCACGGTCCTGCGGGCACTGTCCGGGGCTGTCCCCAAACGCCACAGTCTATGGGAGGACAGGCGGGTTCAGCTCCCAGCCACCCTGAGCAGGAGACCCCTGCCTGGACCCCCATACCCCGTCTCTACCGGTGTCTCTGAGTAGTCCCAGGTCCCTGCAAACGGGCTGGGCCTTCATTCTGAGCTCAGCAGTGAAGAGGTATGAGGATAGAAATGGTGTAAATGTGTGTGAGTGGGTGAGAGTGGGACTGAGTGGGTGTGAATGAGTGTGAGTGGTTATGAATGGGTGTGACAGGGTGTGACTGGGTGTGGGTAGTGTGAATGGGAATGAATGGGTGTGAATGTGTGTGAGTGTGAATGGGAGTGAGTGTGAATGGGTGTGACTGGGTATGAATGGGAGTGTGTGTGAATGGGTATGAGTGGGTGTGAATGAATGTCAGTGGTTACGAATGGGTGTGAGTGGGTGTGAATGGATATGAGTGGGTGATAGTGGGTATGAATGGGAGTGGGTGTGAATGGGAGTGAGTGGGTGTGAATGTGTCTGGGTGTAAGTGGGTATGAGTAGTGTGAATGGGAATGAATGGGTGTGAGTGGGTATGAATGGGTTGAAGTCAGGTTGCGAGTGTTGTCAGTGCCTGCTGACCAGGTTCCCGCCCTTTTTTTCTGGAGGCAGGTTCCCAGGAGTGGCTCTGACTGAGGAGCCCTAGAGTAGGGCCTTCAGAGACGCTGGGGAAGTCCCCACGCCTGCTCTGTGCCCGGGTCCCTGCAATGCACTTCCCTGTTCCTGTTCTCGGATCTCTCGAGCGCCCTAGGCGTGAGAAGGCTAGAGCAGGACACGGTGGGTGGGGCGGGGCACGTGCCCTGGGCTGCTGCCTCTGGTTCTCCTACCCACTGACTTCTGGCCACTGTGTCCCATCTCCTCCGTGCCCGCTGGGTCCCCTGTCCCCTGGAGCCGGGGGGGGAAATCTCACACAGCCATTTCTTTCTCCCCCAGCACCAGATCCCAGATAGGAACCGGCTGTGAGCAGAGTCGCTTGGGGAAGGGAGCAGGTCCCTTCCCTGGGGAGACAAGGGCCTGATGGCAGAGCGCTCTTCCCTCCCCTTGGGCTGGGTTTGATCTGCGTGCAGGGGGGCGGGTGTGGGGAGGCCCCGGGACGTGTCAGCCTCGCTGGGGGCAGAGCCCCTCCCGCCTGGTGCCCAGGCTGTGGTTGGCGGCTGGCTGTGCCCATTGTCTCCCAGCAGCCTGCTGGGACGGGGACCCTGTTTTCAGGCATGCACAGGGACCCAGGCACATTCTCGGGCAGTGTCAGGGGCACGGTGTGCCCCGAGGCCCAGATGCCCCTGGGCATGGCCAGGGTGCCTGCGTATCTGAAGGAATCGCCCCCTGGGCGTGGCTGTGGGCCTGCAGGGGCCTGGCTCCGGTCTGGGCAGGCGCATTGGAGCCCCCGCGGAGACAGAAGGAAGCTCAGGGCAGGGGGTGTTGATGCCACCCTCACCACCACGTGGCCCTTCACCATCACCGTCCTGTGCCCCACCCCTCACAGCCGGTCCCTTAGGGCTGGGGACGTTGGCACAAACAGCCGCCTCCACTTCCGAAGCCGGTACACCCCCTACTGCCGAGGGTGGGGCAGGAGGCGTAGCAGAGTCTTGCCTGGTTGCGGCCACCCTCCTGGAGCCCCCCATGAGGACACACAGGGACTGGAGCAGATTCCCCCAAATCAGCCGTGTCCCCCCCAACACACACACACACACACACACACACACACACACACACACACACTATGATGCCAGCCCACGTGCTGAGATGGCTGTGAGTAGCGATGATTCTCGGGGGAAGAGATGCTCTGCAAGTTGTGGGTGGTTGTGGGGAGTAAGATCCTCTGGGCAGAAAGAACGGGCTCTGGGAAATAAGGGTACTCTGGGGAGTGGGCGATCTTCTGGGGGAGTAATAATGCCCTGGGAGGTATGACATACTCTTGTGAGTAAGAGATTTTGACGGGGCTAAGGATGCCCCGGGAAGTAAAGATACTCTGGGCAGTAAGAGATACTCAGGGGAATAAAGATTCCCCGGAGAGTAAGGATACCCAGGGTGCGAGGAACCTTTGGGGAGTAATAAATACCCTGTGTAGCAATGGATACTCTGAGGAGGAAGGCTACCTGGGGGAGGGAGGGTGCTCTGGGGGTGGCTTTCAGGCAGCAGAGACACGTGTTTCTCCGGGAGTCCCTCTGGCAGCACAGAGGGTCCAGGACCACAAAGTTCCCCCTGGCTTTCCTCACACCCTCCCCGTGGCGGGGGACACTTACCGGCCTGCAGGTGGTGGGCTTCCCGTTCATGTCTGTGCTGGGGGGTTGCAGGTGACCCCAGTCTCGGCCCTTGTTGTAGGTTATAAGTGTCACTACCTTCCCATCGCGTTTCTGGTTTGCCAAGAAGACGCCCTTCACTCCCCGCACCTGAGAGAGAAGGTGGAGGAACACGGAGTCCCCAGGACGATGAGCTGCCACCCTCCAGGATCTGATGGCCTCCCACCCCTACTCAGGATGTGGCTCAGCAGCTCCCACTCCAGATGTCAGTGACCACCCCCCACCCTGGATACTGACGGGCCCCATTCCACCTCCAGGATGTCGACGAGGACATTCTCCTCGGCCCGCCGCGAGCTGCGGACGTCCTCCAGCACCAGCGTGTAGTGCACTCCACGTGGGTCCGACTGGTAGAGGTTGTAGGTGTCGGTCTGGTACCACTCCTGCACCGCCACGAACACCTGGCTCTCGTCCGTGCTGATGATCTGCAGGTCCTGGGGGTGGGGAGAGGCCGCAGGGGATGGGCCGTGTATGGGTGACCCGAAGGGCCCCTGGACTCCCCCACCCACCCTCCCGGAGGTGGCTGATGTTCCGTGCCTACCAGCCGAGGGAGGACGCCAAGGCTGGCGGGAACCCCACAGCTGCCCCACGCTCTGACTTCTGCCTTCACACCCCCCAGGTTGCCCATCAGCCTAGACTGGCTCCTCTGGGGGTGGGTGCGCAGCTGCCCCTTGGCGGCTCCCGGGCCTGGTGAGTCCTCTTGGTGCTGGAGTTGGTCCCAGCCTGAGGAGCGGGCCAGCAGAGCTTGCTCTGGGGACTGACTCACCCTGAGTCATCACGCCCCAGCAGCGAAGGGGTGCCCTCGGCATCCACTTGAGGGTCACAGCCCAGGCAGCCAGCCTGGGCAGGCAGAGGGGGCTTGGCTGGGGAGGGGCTGCTCCCACCAAGATGGGGGCCGAAGGCTGTCGGGGTCCAGCGCCAGCGTCAACAACCGCTGTTCACATGTGTGCATTATGTTCGCACGTGCATGTTCTCACACGTATGCACGTGTGCATGCTTGCATGTATGTATGCACGCACATGCACCTGTGTGTGACCATATTGTTTATGTACATGCACATATGTGTGTACGTGTGAGCATGTGCACCGTGAACATGTGTGTATATGTATACATGTGTGTATGTGTGAGCATATGTGTGAATGCATGTGCATATGTGCTTGTGAGTGTGTTCATGTGTGCATGCATGTATGTGTGCACATGTGAGTTTGTGAATGTGCTGTGTGCATGTGTGTACACGTGGATGTGTGTGCATGCAGGGGGCAGGCACAAAAGGGCTGTCACTTGCTATCTGTCCAGACAGCCATGCCAAGCACCCCTTATCCTGACCCACTGCACAACTGCAGCTCAGGGTCTGCCCTCTGTTACCTCCTCTGACACCTGGGAGTGGCCGAGGCCATTTGCTCTTCCCAGCAGTCACAGACTGGGCTGGGCAGCAGTGATGGGTGCTGTGGTGACCTGGGCAGGGTGAGGCATAGGTAGGAGAGGCTGCAGCATGTGGGACTCCAGGGGGCCTGTGGGGGAGTCCGCAGCCCCTGCCCCCCCCCCAGGGGCATGGGCCTGACACGGTGTGGCTCCAGCCTGGGAAATGGGTGCCCAGGAGATGTTGAATGGCTGTGTCCACCCCGTCTCCGTCCAACCTTGAGGCCATGCGCCCGAGATCCTGAGCCCACCTGGACTCTGGGCACTCTGCAGTCTCCCCAGGGAAGGGCTCAGCAGGGACACGACCCTTGGGGGTCCCCACACATGGCAGCTTTGCTCCTGGCTGCCGAGATGACCGGACCCAGGAGAGGTGCAGGAATGAGGCACTAATTTTGCACTCACCAGCCAAGTTCAAATCTACCCCTGGCACCACATTTTGTCCTGAAACATGGCCAGGGGTCACTCTGGAGTGTGGCCTGACTGACCCTCCCCCCAGAAGACACACCCCACCAAGTCACTTGATCACTTGACATCCCGTTACTCATCGATTTGCTCAAACAGGCACCAGTAAAGTCTCCATTCATCCCTGTCGCGTGCTAGTGTAGTCCAATGGCGTCTGCTCATTCTAGGAACACAAAGAGCCTCAAACCGATCGTTCAGGGTCTTGACAAAGAAGTCTGACCATCTCGTAGGTGGGCAGCCACGCGATCTTTTGACGTCCTGTGGAATCCAGTCAGTAACGGCTCTAGCCCAGTGGTCGTCTCCAAATCTCATTACGTGTCCAGCCCATCTGATTTTCAACGCCTTGGCAAACGAGACAGCGTCCCTGATTCTTGATTGTAGATGGAGGTCGGAACTCCGGATTCTTTCTCTCATTTGAGTGAAGTGGGTTACTCCAAGCATAGCTCTTTTGATTTCTCTTTGGGAGACCTGAATAGCGTTCTCATCCTGTTTTTGTAGGGCCCAGATCTCTGTGGCGTATGTTAATGCAGGAAGAACAGTGGAATCGAAGAGATGTGCCTGGAGCTGGAGGTTCTTCATCCTCTTAGCTATTTCTTCGACGCTCTTGAAGGCGTTCCAAGCCACTCTCTTCCTCCTGTGCAGCTCAGGTGCCAGGTCATTCGTCATGTTGGCTTCTCGACCTAGGTACACATAATTGTTGCATTCGGAGATGTTCGTTCTGTTGAGAGCAAATGGAACGTCAGGAACAAAACTGTTTCTCATAAACATTGTCTTTGTGAGATTCAGCTGAAGTCCAACATTTCCACACTTACGGTTGAAGTAGGCCAGCATTTGTGCCTCTTGGCTAATGTTTGATGTTTTTAGAACAATGTCATCAGCAAAGCGGAGGTGGTGTAGCTGCCGACCTTCTATCTTCACTCCCATTCCTTCCCATTCTAGTTGTTGCATGATGTTCTCGAGGGTGGAACTGAAGAGTTTCAGTGAAATGGTATTGCCCTGCCGAACCCCTCTCTTGACGTCAATGATCACTTCCCTGTAGAATGGTGAGATCCTGGTAGTGAATCTGTAATACAGCTCACAGAGGATCCTGATGTATTGAGTTTGAACGCCCTGTTTGGCTAGGGCTTCGATGACTGCTTCTGTCTCAATAGAATCAAAGGCCTTCTTTATTTTATTTATTTTTAATTTTTATTAGTGAAACACCATGAGGTACAGTTGTAGACTTACAAATTTTTGTGCTTGGGTTTCAGTTATACAATGATTGAACACCCATCCCTCCACCAGTGCCCATTCTCCACCACCACTGATCCCAGTATCCCTCCCACTCCCAACCTCCCCATCCCACCCTGCCTCTGTGGCAGGGCATTCCCTTTTGTTCTCTCTCTCTTTTTTGGGTCCTGTGGTCTGCAACAGAGGCATTGAGTGGCAATCATGTTTGCTCCCCAGTCCACTCTCAGCACAGATCTCTCATCCTGGGAGGATCCTCTCAACACCCTTTATTTGGGTCTCCCTTCTCTGAGTTGCCTTTTCCCTAGCATGTGTGGCTATCCTCCAAGCCATGGAGTAAACCTCCTGGTACCTATCTTGACTATTCTTGGGTGTTAGTCTCGTATTTTGTTATTTTATGTTCCCCAGATGAATGCAATCTTTCTATGTCTGTCCCTTTCTTTCTGACTCATTTCACTTAGAATGATACTTTCCATGTGGTACCACGTGTATAAATTTCATGACTTCATCTTTTCTAACAGCTACATAGTACTCCATTGTGTAATTTATAGGTGTTTGACTTAGTTCTCTGTGTTTGTGTGTGATTCACTTCTATTCTCAGTGCATCATGGTCTGAAAAGATTGTTGATACTATTTCTATCTTCCTGATTCTATTGAGGTATGTTTTGTGTCTTAGCACATGGTCTATTTTGGAAAATGTTCTGTGTGCACTGGAGAAGAATGTGTACTCTTTCTTTTTGGGGTGTAAAGCCCTGCATAGGTCTATAAGCCCTCTCTCTTCTATTTCTTCTTTCAAAGACAATGTTTTCTTGTTGAGTTTTGTTCTTGTTGATCTATCCAGAGGTGATAAGGTATTGTTGAAGTCTCCAGCTACTATTGTGTTACTAGCAATGTCCTCCTTAAAATCCATTAGCAGCTGTTTTAAATATTTAGCTGTTACCTCATTAGGTGCGTATACATTTAAGAGTGTGATTTCTTCCTGTTGTATACATCCCTTGATGAATAGAAAATAGCCTTCGCTGTCCCTTCTAATCTTCTCCAACTTAAAATTGATGTTGTTGGATACTAGTATGGCCACCCCAGCTTTTTTGAGGGAGCTGTTTGCTTGCAGTATTGTTTTCCACCCTTTAACTTTGAGTCTGTGTTTGCTCTGACTGTTGAGATGAGTTTCTTGTAGGCAGCAGAATGTTGGGTTCTGTCTCTGAATCCATTTTGTCACTCTGTGTCTCTTAATTGGTGAATTTAGACCGTTGACATTGAGAGAGATTATTGTTATGGGATCTTGTGTCATCTTTCTATAAGGGCCTGTTGTGCTTGTAGGGTTTGTCTTCTTATAGTAGCCCCTTTAGCCCTTGTTTTAGGTTTGGTTTTGAGTCTATGAAGTTCCTGAGCTGCTGTTTATCTAGAAAATAGTGTACTGTTCCTTCATTTGAGTGAGAGTTTAGCCGGATATTCTTGGTGAAGCATTCATTTCAGTGAGTTTTTTTCACTATATCCCGCCATTGCCTTTGGGCTTGGAGGGTTTCCTCTGATAGGTCTGCTGTGAATCTAAGGGGTGCTTCTTTGTATGTGATTTCCTTCTTTGACCTTGCTGCTTGCAGTATTGTGTCTCTATTGGCGGCATCGGTCATTCTAACTATGATATGTCTCGAAGTGTTTTTGTTAGGATCTCTTTTAGCTGGCACCCTTCGGGCTCCTTGAATCTGAATGGCTGCATTGTCGAGCTCTGGGAATTTTTCAGCAATGATTTGTTTAACCGTGGCTTTTTCATTGGGATTGTTTCCCTGAGCATCTGGTACTCCTATGATTCTAATGTTGTTCCTCTTGGAATCATCTCCTAGGACTCTGATTTGCTCTCGAGCTATTTTGAGGTCTCTTGCCATTGTTTGTTGTTGCCTGTTGGCTTCATGCAGCTGATCTTCCAGCTCACTGATTCTGTCTTCAGCTGTGGTCATTCTATTGTTGAGGGCACAGACTGAGTTTATTTCATCTAAGGAATCTTTCATTCGTGACATTTCTGTGCGTAGCTTTCCAATTTCTGCTCTCATTTCTTCCTGTATTTTCTCGATTGTGCGATCCATTGTTTCTTTCATGTCCTCTTTCAATTTACTGACTGTTTCATTGAGTTCATTGAAAATTTTCATGACTTCATATCTGAATTCTTTTTCAGAGAGGTCCCTTAGGTGAGTAGCACGTATGGAGTAAGATTCTGGACTCTTTTCATCGTCCTCCCCACGTGGTGGGAATTTGCTTTGTTCTTCATGTTGGTGTGTAGGTATGGAAACTATGATGTTACACTAGATTTCTTGGTACACTAAACTACCTG